ATTGGACGTGAGAACCCGGCCAGTTTAACGGGTGGTCGAGCGGGTATTTGAACCAGCACTCTCTATCTCAACATTTCCGGCTCAAGAGCTCCGTGTGCGACACAGCCATTATGGACCGCCAGTGCCATCCAGAGGTCAAACAAACACGTGGTATGGCTTTTGTCATTCACTTTCGTTAAGGGAATTGGCTTGGAACAAGATGTCAGAAAATCATAAAAATCTGTTGGTAGCTAATCCCACTGAAGCAAAATTCGAATCACTATAGCTTTGGGGGGGAGTCTTCGACCAGCGGTGGATTGATATTGGCTGATAGAAGCTGAAACAACGATCTGTTTAGCCACCGAAAATTTCAATAAAATCACGTTTTTAATCCACCAGCCTTTCGGCCTTCTGCACTTTAGTGTTTTCAGCAGAAGTTTGTTTAAAACAGAACAAAAACCCTTGTCCAGCAGAGTGTGTACCCGTTAATCTATCGATGCCGTGGTTTCCTCGTGTTATAGGCAAGAGCCCTTTATGTTCATGTCCACAACCGGCTTGCCTCGGATCGTTAATAGGCCTGGGGTGGGGGGGAGTGTGTTATGCAGCAGAGGGAAAAGATGGATTGGTGGGTGGGCGAGTAGAGTAAGTGATCGAGTGAGTGAACGAGTCGGTGACTGGCTGAGTGAGTGAGTGACCAGGTGAGTGAGCGAGTGAATGAGCTGATGAGCAAGTGAATGGGCGCGGCCAGCGAGTGAGGGAACAAGTGAGTAAGTGATTGAGCGAGCTAGCTGAGTGTGTGTGGATGGAATGCCATCAGCTGCGGCTGACTCGTGTGCATTTATAACATTCATTCCCCACTGATCTCTTGTGCCACGAGTGTTGCTGAAAGTAGACGGTGCCCCTTTTAGCGGCTCCCTGGCTCACACTCTGAACGCCTGACTGCACACACGGGGCCTGACTGACCCGATTGCTTTGTACTCCGGGGATTCCTAGAATTTAGTCAGGGTGCCCAAGACTCAAGAGGCTCAGCGATGCAGAGAGCTGTATTGCAGTGGTTCTCAACCTCCCTGCTTTGATGGACATCGCCGTCAAGACTACTGGACACAATACACAGACAGTATGATCATTCTTGTTGAAATAAACTAAACAACTGTTTTATTTTACCAGGTAAGGCCCACTGAGCTGTATAGCTCTTTTTCAAAAGCGACCTGGCCACAAATTATAGCTCAATGGAAGTGGGCTTATACGTGGACATTTCTTGCAGCCATACACTCTAAATGCATGTTGATTGTAAATGTGGAGGGAAAAGCTGGAGGACCTGGAGAAAAATCCACACGACCACGGGGACAACATGCAAACTCCAAATATATAACGGGGGTCGGGATCGAACCCACGTACTCCTGCATACCAGGCGAAGTAGTTAACATCTCGCCACTGTGGCGCGTGCCCCAAGTCATCTGGCCATGTCCCGCTTCGCATCTTGCTCCTGCGCATGAGCGTCATACTCGCGGTCACGTTTCCTCCTTTGGCTGCCCTTCCAGTCCTGCCCATTGGCCACCATCATGAGCATCTCATCATCATTTCTACCCACGACATGGCCTGCCCGCGGCCATTCACTTTCGCTAGCAGTCCATTATTATTACTACTACGGGCGTTAATGCATGCGCAAACACTCCATTTATTTACCTATGCTAACGAGCGAGGCTGGCCAATGAATGCTGGCGAGTGTGCTCCTCTGCCCATGAGAGATCATTAGCCGGCCGGTCCGGTTGGTAAACTGGTGGAGATCGTACCCCCCCCCGCCCCGCGCTTTGAAACGCCGCGCGCACCTGGTGCCGAGCAGCGAAATTAATGGGTGGAGGTTGGGCCCTGCGCGTGCATCTGTGCGAGTCTGCGTGTGCGTGACAGAGAGGTAAGTGTGTGTTTGTGTGCGAGTTGAGTGTGTGCTTCAGGCGTGGTGCTGGCCACCCACCTCCTCGTGGTGTACCGTGCTGGCCTTTGTTGCTTGCAAACAACAATTGCCCCAACAGTCTGTTATGGCTAAATGGGAGATCTTTGTCTTTTTGCTTGACTGATGGTAAGGCATTGGTAGTGCAGTGTTTAGCATGCTGCCCTACAAACCTGGTGACTCGACTTCAGTTCCTGCTCACGGCCAACAGCAGTGACGATTATCTTAACTGGTCCTGGGCCCTCCCCTAGGTTTGTAAATATCGCCACTTGGGAGACAAAGGCAGCCGAGGCGTGGTGCTGGCCACCCCCCCCACCCCCTTATGTGCCGCGCCGGCAGGACTTGCCCCAACAGTCTGTTAAAGGCCATATGGGTGATCTTTGTCTTTGTGCTTGACTGAGCATACCTGTGCGTGTGGGGGAGCGGCAGTGTAGTGGTTAGTAGTGAACTGCCGAGCTTGCAGGCGTAGGCCCTCCACGTACGACCCGATGTCCCAGATTAAGGCCACTGCCATCCCACGATGCACAAAGCAGCCAGCGAGAACCCCGTTGCCACGTAACGATGTCGAGTGTTGAAACGGGAGCGTGTGTGTGTGCATGTGTGTTGCATCTACTTATCTCCGCTCTCGGCTGGTTTGTCACGCTGCGCCGAAAACTTAATTTTCCTGTTCACCCCATGGCCACCTTTGTCTGGAACGATGAGTCTCGTAAGCGACCTGAAAGCCCTGGACAGGCATCGCTTGGGAACAGTTATTTCCATTATAATAACACTGTTTAGCCGGGCATGTCTACCGAGCCTCAGGACTCTCGTTCAAGAGGGTCCTGCTAGGATTTTTCACAGGAGGAAGTCTTTTCTTTGACCTGAGAGCTCCTTGCGCGGTTCGGTTTGAGTCATGGCCAACTCCGATTTAGCACGGTTGGCTACGTACGGTGCGAAAGAAGTTCAACATACGTACATGACGAGTCGTATCGAGATGTCTGCTGTTATGTGTCACAATGGCCATGAAAGCCTCGCTCGGTCTCAAAAGAGCTTTTAGATTATTTAGATTATTTGGCTGCTTATAAATGTCCACGTGATAAGCAACATCGTTGAACTGTCATTTGTGGCCAGGTCACGTCTGAAAAATAAGTTAATAGCGCAGTGAGCTTTATCTGGTAAGATAAAAATTGTTAAGTTTTATTTGTATATTTTATTAAGTGATTGGTTTACCTTTCCTACACTTTGTACTCGTGTCGTGTTTTCGCACTGTTTGTTGTTGTAACGTTCTGACCCGCCCCTACTGTACGTCTGTGAAAAAGAGCTTAATAGCTCATCGCAGTCCTCCATTATAAATGCAGATTTTGAATCTTGACATTTTCAGGAGGGTCCTGCTAAGCTTTCATAATAGCGGGGGGGGGGGGGGGGGGGGGCGATGTTGCTGTGCCTAATCCCAATTCGGTAACGTGCGAGAAAATCTTCTTCAACTTGGGCAAGTTTGGACCGTGAATACTTTAAAGAGAGCAGCAGATGCTTGGGGATACTGTTTTGGGGCAGAGCTTGGGGACCCACTGCGTGTGGCTACCGTGCAGCAGCAGCAGCTGGCGGAGGGTGGAATGCAAGTGTCAGAGCGTGGTGCCTTCTGAATCGGGTTTGGTCGCGATGACACCTTGATCTGGATTTACCCAGGAAAGCTTCGCACCATTTTTTCAATAGGGGAGGGGGTTGGGAGGGTGTCCAGCTTTATCGGGATGCTTAGTTGGCTTCCTGTGGTGATGGAAACCGGGAGACCCAGAGTGCCCAGTTTCCTGCCACTTATTATACAATGCATAGCGACATCGTATTCAATATAATATGCATTATTTCGGTGAAAATAATTAAAGAATCGTTGCACACACAAAGATGCGTGTCGCTGCCAAAACAGTCGTAATATTCAGCAAAATAGCATTTTAAGGCCATAGGCTTCAGGATAGCTCGAGCATGTGACATGAGGCAACTCGGCAGCATCTGTTGAACAGGTCACACGCAGCTGATGGGGCTCTGAGAAGTTGAAACCGCTGCAGCGTTTTTGCTGCTTCAACAAATGCGGGCTGGAACATGTTGGTCCAGAAGGTTGTGGGGACGATGAGCCATGATGGGCTTATGTCGTTTTACGTTTTGGCAACGGTGGCGAGTTGACCGTGACGTCCTCCCGACGTTGTCCGACATCAGAGATTTCGTCGCGAGATCTCCGCCGTCCTCTAGCGAAGAGGGCGAGCCGCAGCGACGTGTCCCCACTCAGAGGGCCGGCCTCGATCGCTCCTCAAGAATTTCCTGCGGCTCGTTCCCGTGGGGAGTCGTGGCCGGGTTTTCCCGGGATGCGTCGGCTGCTCGGAATAAAACGAGGAGCAGACGCCCGACCCTAAATAATTCAGTCGCGTCATCTTCAGCGGAAGATTCTGCTTTGAGCTGAAAGCTCTTTCTACGCTCCGAGTCATAGCGGGGGGTGGAATACCCATGAGCTCGGCAACTCGCTCGCCCCTCTCGTCCCTCACTCCACTCCCCTCCAGTAATCAAGGCTTTCTGTCAAAGCCCGCGGTCAACCTTTGCTCATTGAGGTCACTCCTCTGCTGCTGCTTACTACCCCTCTTTCCTCCTACCCACCATTTGGAACTCTATTTATCAAACTCCATGATGTCAGCTAACTGCCCTTTTTCACATCTAGACTCTTCTACGTATGACTGATCCCTCTAATGCACTGATCATCATCAGACATGATCAGTCCACTTCTGGACGAATACCTCCTTGGTCCTGCGGTGGACAATCCCCTCGGTTGCGTTAATTTCTTTGGCTGCCCCTGCCGTCGTAACGTCTCGACCAGCGGCCATCGTCGCCTCTGACTTGCGTTGCTCTTCAACTGCGTTACCTGCCGCTTTATCTAAGTTGCTGATTCCCAGCGCTGGTGAAAAATGCACTGATGTCACTTTTTTTTTTAAATCACGGTTCCTGAGCGCACGCCCCAAAAAATACCCACGCGCCAATCGGCCAGCAACAAAGCATCGCCGTACTGAGGTGTAATCGCTAACCGTGGATGTCGTCTTCTCCTTCCCCCGCGTAGGAATACAAGAGATTCCGGAGAACATCAAATCCTGCAAGCTGCTCACGATGCTCGAAGCTAGCGTCAACCCGATATCCAAGTACGCGCTCGGGGGCCCCCTTCCCCTTCTCTCTCCCTCTCTTCTCCTCCCCTCTCCCCCATCACCGTCCTTTAATTGCACGCGGAATTCCGGTGATCGTGGGAGCACTGGTTGGCATTCCGCTCTGATAAAGCATGGTGGTCTCTTTTTCTCTTAGCCCGGGGCTGCTTATTTGCGTGCATTTTTTGTCGCCAAACAGCGTTGCCGTTTCTAACCAAAGCAGCAGCACGCCGCGTCGTGTTACCCCCTGCCTGGCCGGTGTCCTTAAAATGTATTGTGTTGTGACGATTCGGATTAGTTAACGCCTTCAAATTATTTTTTATATTACCGCCTCTGAATTTCCATTGTCAAGCAGCGTTATGAGAAGGGAAATGGGTGGAGGAGGGAATACAGTCCGGGGATACAGTGAGTTAGTTTTTTTTGTTTGTTTACACAGCGGCGCCTTTTACAAACAGATAATCTTGGCTGCGGAGACAAAATCTCTGCATCAACGTCTCAACAAAAGTCCCCATACTTTCAAGCACTAAGCTTGGCCTTTCTAAATGCGCATAATTAGGGTTGTGATGGCTCCACGCGAGTGATCCGATGCGATCCTGCGTCGCAATTTCACGTTGCACCCGTGCTTGGTATATATCGACAAGATCAGAGCTCATTCCCTTTGGTCCACCAGAAATTGACCCGGCACCGTCCATCAACTAGGTCTATCAGTTGACTTAATTCTGATCGGCTACTTTTTTTTTTCCGTCGTCAATTACTCGGGCCTTCTTAAAAAATAGCGGTCGCCCCCACATCCTACCTCCCGAAGGCAGGAAACCCCCTACACGCCACGCTGATTTTGTCTGACATCACCGGATCCCGCCCGTCACCTCCCGTCCAGCGGCACGCATGGGGAAGCAGATGCGAGACTTTTATCCCCCCCACTATTTTCACGTTATCCGTTGCGATGCGCGTTCCGTCATGGTAAACGCGCGTGACGCTGGTGCCCCCCTCCTACTCCCACCCCCCCCACCCACCCCCTGTTTACGGCACAGGCTGCCTGAGGGAGCCACTCAGCTCACCTGCCTGACGGAGTTGTACCTGAACGACGCCTTCCTGGAGGTCCTACCAGCCACCATGGGCAGGTGAGCAGCTGTTGTCGCTAAACGTGGAGGCGTTCATAAAAGGCATTTTGTAAACCTGGGTTGGTAGTGGTGCACAAGCACACATACCAAAAACACTCAACATGTTCCTAAATAACACTCTGTGGCCTTAAAAGAAGAACTTATTTATAAATGTTGACGTTTTGGGCAGTGGCCCTTGTTCGTAGCAAATTTAAAAAAAATGATGACGCACGATGATTCAGGTGCCATGAAGATGGACCATTGTGCAAAACGTCGCCTATCGTGTACTTTTTGCTTTTGAGGCCAGAGTGCCATTGACGAACGTGAGTTTCTATGGTTACCACCGTCGCGCCATTCAACGTCTTGGGAATGTCTACTTGTGCCATTCTGTGGCCACCAACGGGCTTGATGACGGCGAGTCAGTGTGGGCATTTTTAAACAGGAGAGCGAGCGAGGCGAGAGCGTCGTCGTGGCACGATGTGCACGCGCGTGTGTGTGCGCGCGCGTGTGTGTGTGTGTGCGCGTGTGTGTGTGTGTGTGTGCACGCGTGTGTGTGTGTGTGTGCACGCGTGTGTGTGTGTGTGTGCACGCGTGTGTGTGTGTGTGCGCACGCGTGTGTGTGTGTGTGCGCGCGTGTGTGTGTGTGTGTGCACGCGTGTGTGTGTGTGTGTGCACGCGCACCGCCGCTGCCTGTGGGGTCGGAGCGCCGAACCCGGCGCTGCCGCGGTTCAATTAGCGAGGGTCCTCGTCGCACAGCGCGCAGACGGGGAGACGGTCTTCCCGGCCCGCTCGCGCGTCTGGAAAGCCGTCTCGTGGTAGCTTTGCCTCGCACCGCAATGCCCTCCTCCATTCCTGCACGGCCGGCGGTTAAGGTTCGGAAAGGAAATAAACATCGATTTGTGATTTGATTGATGAAGGAGCCGGAGCCCTCTCCGCCACGTCGCCTCGGAGGGTGAACACGGTTTGTGACCGTACTTCGTCACGCCGGTCAATGTGGTGTTAGAAGTGGATTTTTTTGTTTGTTTGTTTCATGACAGGAAACCGATTGCCAGAGTCGAATGTGGCTTTTTACTCTTTTTTTTTGGAATTCCCCAATTAATTCCCGAGCGTCACTAGGCCCCGTGCGATTTATATAACCATGGAACGGACGTTTCACGGAGTGGCCTTTACAAAATATTTTTAGTAAATATCGGTTGTGATAACCTCGGTGTTGTCAAAATATTTTTTTTTAATTCGTTATATTCGTTTTTTAAAAGCACTTTGCGGAATTTGATATCTTGCCTCTGTTTTTTATCTACTTGCCATAAATACAGAAAAGCAGCTGTGTTCTTTTCTCGCAGCTATCCCTACGGTAGAATGATCCAGAATTAGAATTGTTCCAGTTACATTTAGCCTTGTGTAGGAATAGCACTGGTACATTGAGCAACATGACAGCAGGCGTCCGAATCCTGATGACATGAGTTCAAATTCCAGTCATGGTCAATATCATCTTCTTTATCCAGACCCCCTATTAGCGATGTCATTCTTGTAATCATCGTAATGCAGTAGGAACGGTAAAGAGGAAGGCCGAGAAATGATTAGACAGACGAGGATCATCAACAAACGATCGAAAAGGTAATTTGTATAAGGTGGAATGACATGGCCCAAATTGGCCGTAGATCGGAAATTCTGGCTCGGTCCGGGAGGTAATGTAATTTAATTTGGAGATCCGCGCAAAATTTCCGCCGTAAAATCGACTGTTTAAATGAATGACGGACCTTCGCAATGCGAGCTTTGTGCTATTATTTCTATGTTAACAAAGTCACAGTTGCTGAGCACGGGCCCCAAAGGCCTATAACACAAAGTGGTCATCAACAGAGGGCACTTGTGACAAAAGATTAGGTAATGAATCATGTGTTTATGGCAATGAGCAAGGTTATCGCAACTTTGGCAAAATAGTCGAGGGGGGAGGAATTCCAAATCCAGAAAGCAGAGAAGCACTGCTTGTAACAGCAACTTATCACCCTGCAAGACGATTCTTGAATCGAGCGAGAATATTGGAACTTCGGAACTCTCCGCATCGCCTCATTTCCCCGAGTCGAGCAGCGTGCGGAAAGAAGAAGGAGGAAGATACATCTTGTTGTGTCCACTGATGTGGTAGCTGAACAGAGTGTGATGAGAGGAAACCACCTGTCTGGTCACTCCACTTAGGCCATGCCACTTGTGGAGGTATCAAAGCGTAAAGTCCTTCAGCACGACAAAGCACGGTAATAGCAATAAGAGAACGACATGGAAGCAACGTGTCGATATTTAAAGTAATTTTTAGTTTTTAACTTTACATCTTCTTTTGTATTTTAACTGTGATCCTCATAAACATGTTTTTGTTAATTTCAATGTTAGGTTAGTAACACTTAGTCCGTGCTCTCTCCATTTGCCTGGGTGAACAGTGGGCTTCATTTTTTTTTTCCCCCCCACAGCTGGCTCAACAACTTTAAGAAACTAAAACGGCACCCACAGTGTTGCGTTGCCCGTCTCTCCCCTGCCGGCATGTCACCGCCGCCGCGGTTGTGTTGCCCCGCTTGTGCCTGTGCGTGCGCAGGCTGACGAAGCTGCGCGTGCTGGAGCTGCGTGAGAACCACCTGCGCACGCTGCCTCGGTGAGCGATGCTTTTTTATCGAAACGTCCTCTGCAAAAACGCTCGACTCTCCCGTCGTCTTTTGTTGTTGTTTTCCACCCCCCCCCCCGTCTCCCCCTCAACGAGCCCCACATTAATCTGCGTTATGAGCATCGGCGCCAGGGTCTCTGACGTCAGCGAGCGTGCGCGAGAGGGGGAGAGAGAGGGGAGAGCCGCTCCTGCAATGAATCGATCGGTCTAGCCGGCTGCGTAGGAGTTTACAGCGACGACGATTATGATGACGATGTGCTGCTTATGTTGCTGCTGTCGCTGCGTATGATGATGATGATGATGACCCTGCGCAATCCATTTCTCACAGCGTGTGGGGAGCGGGAGCGTAGACGCGCTCATCTCAGTTCCAGTCACGCAGATTTTATTTCCTGTTCGTTAAGCACATCGGGGATGCTGCCGTGGGGTCATTGTCAGCAGCGCACTGGACTTGCAATACAGAGGTCGCCACTTAGATTCCACCACCCGACGTGGCAGTTGAAACAACGGTGCTAGTTTCTTAAATCCCTCCCCCGCTACCTCTGTCTACCCAGCAGTGTGAATGGCTTCACCACAGTCCATAGTCGGGTCGTGTGCCGTGGGGGTTAAGTGTGGCTACTCCCTCCTCTTGCAAGACATCTGGCTGGTGCCAAAAATCCCTTTCCCGAGGGGGCTCTCTCTCGATCTCGCTCGAGTGGGAGGGCCCTTCCTCGAGCGTTGGCGTGAGCGGGATAGTTGCAGGGGCTGCACTTGCACCTCTGCCCTCCTCTAAAGCGCGTCGGTTGGAAATGAGTCGTCCCCTTCGCGGGCTGACACGCGCGTTCGCGAGCGATCCCAGTCGCTCGCTTCCCCGACGAGGTCAGGAAGCGAGGGCCTTTGATTCTCTCCTCCCGTGACACGTCGGGCGCTTGAAGTGTTACAGGGGGGGAGGGGGGGGGGGTGCGTGTGACGCCACGGCAGGTGCACAATTTAAATGATTAATTAACGAGGCAGGCGGAGGATGTCGACGACGCGTTTCTCATGCGAGGTGTCTTTTTCATCTCGACCTGCGGGGTGGGGGGGCGGGATATTTGTGAAACAAGAAAGCTTCAGAGCGGTCGCTATCAAAGCAGCGCTGTCGCACGCCCAACCTCCGTAGCTAATCGGCGTGGAACCTGGCTTCGCGTGCCCACTGCGGTCTCCAAGCATCCCAGAAAAAAATATTGGGTTGGTCATTATGCCGATAAAGAGAGTTCAACAGCATTGGTTCAAGCAGGCCTGACAGCCTGATGAGACACTGAACGTGAAAAAAAACGGGTCAGAGTTCGCTAGCGTTAGAACCGATAACTCCTGGTTTGGTACACCCCAAGAAGGCCGTGCTCCTGATGGGATGTGTGTGAAACATATTTTGGTTGTTCGGAGGAGGAGGTTGTCTGCCTCTTTCTCTTGTTACTTATATTCTCCACAAAGGACGCAAATGATTACTTTCGATTAAGCCCCGGTCATTACAAACCCAACCCGGATGCAAATTATTTGCAATGCGGGTTGGGTTTGTATTGCGGTTAGGGTGGGGGGGAGGTGGTGAATCATGACCTGTGTGTGTGGTCAATGGGGCTTCCCCACACGATCTCCATGCAAAAAAAAGCGGGAGGGGTGTTAAGGTTATCCTTTGCCCCCCACACATTTATTCAGGTTCATTGCTGGTCACATCCCTTTTCTTCATCCATCCACACTGTATTTATTTCAAACCATCAAAGCACAAACCTTGTCTGCTGCGAGCGCTGGCCGTGACGGAGCTGCCGTCGCGAGTAATCTTAGAGGGATTCGACGCTGGCAAACTCTGGACCGGCTTCGTCATTCGGTGTCTCATCAACAGTTCCAGGCTCGCTTGAAGCAACGCTGAACTGCCGATGTTTGTTTTGTAGGCGAGAGCGCTTTGCGTCCGACGTGGGTCCAAGTTCGACGCACAGTTTTACAATGCGTGACACAATAATCACGAGCGTCGTTGTGGAGGGTTATAAATAAGCAGAGAGGTGTGTGGAACAGCACAATTAAGCACTGCCATCTGTAAATCTGTTTTCTCTCTTTCTGCCTTGTTGCGAGCGAGCGGACTCACCCTTATTTGTTTGACCTTCAAGTGGCACGGAGCCTGGCACAAGCGCCTTGGTGATGGTGGTTGTTATTTGTTTGCGTGTTTACGTTTCCAATTACTTTGTTGCTGTGCACACAGCTTAGCCTGATTGCCTCATTAACGGCCTGCTCCTCATTTAGGTTTAATTGTTCCCACACTACAAAGCACGGTTGTGTAACCAGATTACGCTTCCGCCATGGTCTATTATAAATAGCCATGATGAAGCCAGGTGACAGGGGGGGTGGTTCAGGGGTCGGCGCTACTGAAGAGAGCCTCGATTCGAGTTTTTTTGTTTGGTTTAGTCAGCGTCGGCAGACTCCATGGTCGGGAATTTTCCGTACGCGCTAGCATCTTCGCCACCACAGAAAATGTACCGCAGGGAGGTGGGGCTCTCTGCCGGTAGTGGCTTTGGGGGTCATATCCGGGTTCAGCCGCCCGCGATTAAAGCCGGTTCTCTCGGGTGGAAAGTCGCGGGTCTCTTGGCCTGCTCATCAGTGACTGCTCAAAGGAAATATCTGTTAGACAATGTTGGGGGGTTTTATTCGTCTGTGAAGTCGTTAATTTTACTGGATATGGTCAAATACCTGTCTGAGAGAAGTAAATGTTTATTTTACTGCTGTGCCGTGAGCGTTGTTCTCCAGCAGGGGCGAGTAGAAAATTGGCAGAACCTCTGGTGCGTGGATTAAAGAAAATGTCTCTTGAAGCGAACTCCAGAGTCATTTTGTAATTCGTGCGAGCCATTGTCGAGCACACTGGAAGTGATGCACTTGTCACTGTAAGACTTAATTTTATTGGCGCGTCTGTTCATGCAAATCAATCAGAATAAAACTAGGAATCAAAAGAGACCAAGTAACATGCATGGGTGAGGGGAAGCAACTCGCAATTGGAAGGTTGAGAATTTACATCCCAATCGGGTAATTGATTAGGCCTATCATCCCTACAGCGTCAATAAAAATAGGTATCACGTTGTGGCGAAGGCAACAATCGTTTTCTTATGGGTAAACTAAAACTCGCCATAGGAATGTGGAATTTCCACCACTAGTTTTGCTGCCTTTTCCAAGCAGATATCAAAGTCTTGATTGACATTTGCAGGAATGTATATTCTCGTGCAATTTGTACATCTTTGCTATATCTATACATTTTATTTCTTACCTTTTTTCCTTAACTCTTTTCTATCTTACTCTGATATAATTTCTTGTATTTTTGTTGATGTAACTTGCTGACCCGCCCCTACCTGACCTCTGTGATAATGAGCTTCATCGCTCGTAAGATTCCTCCACTACAAAGAAATATTCTGATTCCGCGTTTTTTTATGGCTATCACTTGCAGGTTAAAACCACCTAACACTCGTTTGTTTCAGCAGAAATTAGTGGCATGTTCTTTATGCTACGCACAGCCGTTGTTCCTCTAATATGAAGTGTGGTCGGGGTGAAAAGTTAGAGGGCAGGGAGGGGTGAACAGTCATCATTAACTCGTTAAAACGTTTAGTATTTGTGCCATTCCTTTGGCACGAGGCCTTAGCCAAGGGTCCCGTGTTTACCTAAATGAGCATCGTGTGCAGTAGCTTCACAGCAGGGGGGGGCAATGCCGCCGTGTGGCTTTATGCGTCGAGGTAAATTCGCGAGTAATTTTCAACCTTGGCAAAATGTTGACGGTGACGCCTGCACACACCCCACATGGCTTCCGCTTTTTCGAACAACCTCGCGCGAGAAAACCAGAGGATGCGTAGGAAAAATCCACGTGACCACGGGGAGAACGTGCAAACTCCAAATATACAGCAGGCGTCGGGGTCTGGATCGAACTCGCGACCTCCTGCAAACCAGGCGAGGGAGTTAACGTCTCGCCACCGTGGCGCCCTGAACGCGCTGTGCCGCGCACTTCCCACGTCGCGAGTTGCAATCCGACTCGTGGCCTGCCCGCTTCTGCGCGCCGATCTCCCCCCCCCTCCCCCCCGCGGATGCCGGCACGAGCCGTTCCGTGCCTCCTCGCCGCCGTCACGGTCCACCTGCCCCTGCTTCGTGTTGACATTCCTCTTTTGAATATTTGCGTTAGAGTCGGATTGGAAACGGCTTTGTAAGGAATGGGGGGGGGGGGGGGGGGCGGTCGGTGGGTGGGGGGGAGGTGACGAGGTTGAGGGTAGCCGGGGGCGAGCGATGGAGGAGATGGAGCGAGAGGGCGGTGCTCCTGTTTCACGTTGTTGCCAAGTTGCCTCTCCCCGGCCGGGAGCGCGTTAATAATGCAACGACGGCCGCTTTAGTTAAGATCGGGCAAGAGCCCTCGTCGTCGCCGAGAGCGGGAGTCTCGTGTTCACGGGAGATCCTCGGGTCAACGCGAAGGCGTTATAAACGGGTCTGTGGTGCGGCAAGGTAAAACACAGGCATCGCCGTCGTGGGCTGCATGTTTGGTTCTAAATCTGGAGGGAAACGACTGGAGGACCCAGAATAAAACTCCACGTGACCACAGGGAGAGAGAGACCACGCAAACTCCAAATATAAAGGCGTCCGGATCGGGATCGAACCCACGTCCGTCCTCCTGTATACCAGGCGGGGTAATTAAATGCCGCCAGCACGCTGGTCTCCCTACGCTTCTCTATGGCACTTGTGAGCATTTGGTCCGTTTTTCCTCACCGGCCTTCGTCTTTTCGATCCACCTACCACGGCAGATAATACGCGGCGATAAAAACGCTCGCTTTTCGTTCCCGTGTGTGGGGAGGGGGGGCTGGGGTACGTTGCTCGTTCTTGAAACGCAATGCACGAAAACGCAAATCGCGTTCAGCGAAGAAGCGAGGAGAGGAGCAACGACGGCTGTGTTGAGGCACCGTGCGACGTCGTCGCCGCTCCGGCAAACACAAAGGCACGTCTTCACGATCGGTGGCGGATTTTTGAATCGCAGGGTTTGCGGGAGGTCGGGTTTCAAACGGCCACTACTGTAGATCAAAAGCCAGTTTGATCCGTCGGGTGATGTCCTCAAACACATTCATTCATTTCTCTCTTATGCTTGAGATATTTTTTCTGTTTTTTTTTTCCCTTTTACCCGCATGCCTTGTGTTGCGTGTCCCTCATGCTGCTCCACGTGTCTGTGTCACGAGGTAGGTGAATACAGTTCCATTGTGGATGCCTACATTGGCTTGGTGGGCACCACCTTTGGTTAGAGAACAGGTCCCGGAAGAAGCTGTAATAGAACTACTTCTGAGTTTCCCTTGAATAGGCCTGCCCTGTGTACACTGTGGACACAACTTAGATCAGATGAGACTCATGCCGGTCTCTCTGAGCAAATTTTTTTTTTATTAAACGTTGATCCTTTGCCCTGCAAAGAGTGTCCATAAATGACAACAAAAGTTGAATTTAATCACCTACCACCTACACTTAATTTTACATTGTATATTTGTGATGCAGTCAGAGGACAGTCCGTAGAAGGAGATGTCACAACTACTGAAGAGGTCCTTTCAAATTGCCCTTTTATTCACACCAGAGGAGATGTTTGTTGCACAGGAGTCCAACTTAATATCCTCATTAAATTCGTTCAAATATGACCGGGCTGAGGCCGTAAACTCCGCTACACTTGAGAACCCGGTTGAATCACGGGTCACGGAACCTCCTATCCGAACTTGGAATCCCTGTGGCACCGGCGAGGCGCACATCATGACTTGGTGGTGCTAGCCCCCCCCCCCCCCGCTCACCCCCCCTTGTCACCCCAGACGCTCGCAAGTTTCTGTCTCTCACATTCCAGGAAATGTGTCTGTCCCGTCTGGCTTGTGATAATAATACATTTTTTTTTAAATACGCGTGAATAGCTACGGTGGTGGCAATGATGATGTGCACAATGCAGCCTCGGGCACAACTTTGTAAAAAAAAAAAAAGCCTAGCCAGGGCAGTGGAAGAACCACGCGGCAATTTCACTCCGGAACCAACACGTGACAATTTTCGGCAGGCGCAACAAAAGCTGCGACTACGACGAGCCTTTGGTCGCGCGCGGCAGGGCTGGTGCGGGCTGGCAAATATCCTCGTGCGCGTTTCATGGGGGCTTCAGCCGAATTAGACGTCTAGCCTGAAGGACGGCGCGCTCCTTCTCCCATCAGCTGATAACGCGAGCTGGCGTGACACTCGGCAGGGGGGGGGGGGCTTGTTTCATACGTAACTTAAAGGGATCCATAACACAGGTTTTTTGGGGGTTAGATTGCGTAACTAGAAATTTGTCCGTTAAAACTCCCGCCACCACCCAACACAGCCAATTGATAAGGCTTATCACGTAAACGGAACGTGCCAGTACGTTACGAGCACAGCACACCGGTGTGTTGGAGAGCAAATCCGCAACATTTTCAATCTGAGTATGAAGTATCGCCAGTAATTGCAACTAGCTTCATCAGGCGAACAGCCAGATTTGTGGAGGGATCGCGTCGACCTGTGCCGGCAGCGGCGACGAAGGTGGTTTTATTCGATAGGCCCGTAGCGATTCGTCCTACCTGTGGTTCGGATGAATCTTCACGATTCGCGAGTCACGATAACTCTGCTCGAATCGATACATTTTTTTGTCGAATTATTTACTCGCTCCTTTGTACTGTTTCACGTCTGTTCTCTGTCTCGTTCATACGGTTGGTTCTGTTCACTCCCATGAGTTTGAATGCAACATTGGCCTAATATTTTTGGGGTCAAAGTTAGATAAATTATTTTCGTTTATTGCTTTTTTATTTGCGTCACATTTGTCGTGGTCTCGATTGTATTGTTTAGTTTTTTACGTTGACTACACAATCGATTGTCACACGCTTTAATTCAGCGCCTGCATCATAAGCATATGAATGAATTTCAATCGACGAATCAACGCACCGTTACACGCACAGTAATTGACGCCGAAGTTGCCCTGGATTGATTTGCTGCAAGATTGGGATTTTTTTTTTAAGTGTGGGGTAATTGAAACGGGTTTTGCAGATTCTATTTTCTTTTTAATGAAAACGAACGAGCAAAATATCGCGGTCTGTTTGTTCCACTTGGCTGACTCGCGTCCCGCTCGCCGGTGATTTTACGAGGCCGCCGGTTGGGAGCCTGCCACCTCGGGAGTGAGTCACCGCTGCCAATCATTTGTTCCCTTGACACGGCAATCATCAGCGAGCCCCGCGGAGGCGTGATTATTTATAAACCCTCTGCCAGTGCGGTGACAGGCTGGTCGCTCAGGGGGGGGGGGGGGGTGTCTGAGCCAGCTGGGCTGGTAGCGTTGAGGGCCGGGGTCGGAATCTAGGTTGCAGCCTGCCCGTGATTAAGCTGTGTGTAAGCGAGATTGACGGTCTCTTCCCGGTCACCGATGACTCTGCAAAAACCATCGCATTATATTTGGATTTGCGTTTACTTTGGCTAAATTCCAGCTTGGAGAAAAAAAACTTAATGCAAAGTTGATTTAACTGTCACGCAAAGGAAAGACCTCTGTAGCAGCGCGCGTGCGTGGACATTGCGGGTGGATCTCAGAATTAGCTCCGTAGTATCTCCTTCTGTCGGCTGTTCTCGGACACACAGGGCAATGTGCACTGCTGTACGAGAGCTCCAAGTGGACGCTTTATCCCAGGACGTGACTCCCGCAGTCCAACTGGAAGACGTTTTATAGAGATGCCAAATGAAGTTTACTTTCAGCGAGGCATTAAAAGTCGAAACTATGTTCCGAGCTCACTGCCTGAGCGAAACGTCGTGCTCCATTGATGTTGAACTCGGACGCGAAGAGTCTCAAGCCACCAGTGTGGGGGAAGGAGCTGTATCGGTCAATTTCATCGAAACACTGGCTACGTGTAAACAATATCGATGTAAACGTGGTAATCTTGTCGGGTGGTGGATGGTTCATGGCAAGAAATTATGCATAAAAACTACCACTCTGCCGAACCCAAAAACAAATGTTGATTGAACGACAGAGTTGATAATACCATCGAGATATTACAACAAAATCGGGGTCCACGTCTCACACACTCACAGCCCATCCCCCCCCTAATAATCCCGCATTACTAATCCATCATGTGCCGCGAAGGAAACAATGAATCCCCGCACGCTCTCTCACGCACTATACTTAGTTACCCAGGAAAGCCGCTCAACTGTGTTCCCAATACTCTTCGAGGAGGGTCCTGCCACATTTTGGATTATTTGGCCAACACCAATGACTTGGCACGTTTCTAGCTATGGGAAGAAACTGGAGAACCCAGAGAATAACCCCGTGCAGAACTGGGGTGAAGCGTACAATTTCCACGCAGAAATGCGCCCGAGTCAGGAATCGAACCCAGGTCCCGAATCGCCGCGAGGCATGAGCGTCACTGCCGTGCCACACTGCCGCGTAAAAGTTTAGGCAATTAATTAAATGACCTGACATCCTCTCGTCGTCGTCGGGCCTTCATATAATATTAACCCTCGAGTCGTTTTAATGCGTTTCGCTTTCAACGTCTCGCGGACCGCCGCTAATTGCCATCGAGTCGCCGGGTTGACAATTGATAGAGGCGCGGGCATTTCTTCGTGGACGTGCAATGCACGGCCACGAAGAAATGTGAAATCCAACAGATGTACTGGCTCACACTTGTACACAACACCACGCCATCCCATACTCCACTAAACTCCCAACCTAGCCACGGAGTTGATTACCAAAATGTATTTTCCATGGTCATGATGCTACATCGGCCCTCCCGGTTCAACATACACGCAAACAGGAGGGCAGTGGAAACGCATCTTCGGCCTGTTTTTATTACTCCTCCTCCTCCAACCACCAGCCTCCGTTTTAAGTCAAGTGTTTTATTGTTGCAGTAAATTTGCAGTGGTGGTGGCGGTGGTTGATGGTTGTGAGTTCAAATCCTAGCTTGGGGGGGTCGGGGATGAATTAACTCAGTCCATAATTGCTCCGAGGTCGATGGAATGAGTGCCACTGTGAGCGGACGTCAAAGGTGGTTGTCCTGCGGTAAGACTTGCCACCATCATAGGAATGTGGAATTTCAACGACTGGCCTCAGCGGCTGTAAACGGGGAGGTGCGCAGCAGTTTTCGAGAGAACTGGATGTAGATCTCAGACACTGCAACTTGGGTTCACGGTACACTTTCAACATGCATCCTGGGGTGCGTCAGGGTGGATGTTAATGAACGGATCGATCGATTTGATGCGTCGTTTCACACCTCTGCACACCGTCGCGCACCAGTTCCTGCGTGACGGTGTGTTTCTCGCTACTACGCGTCGAGCGGCTGCAACCTGCAGGACCCTAGTTTAATCGCGACCGTAACAATCCCATCCGGCCCCGGTATAAGCGTCGTGCGTAGAAAGCTCTGATGCAGTCATCGAGCGCCTCTCCCCTGCCACCCATCTCTCCTAGGATCCTCTACCCCGGGACCCGCTTGTTCTCCGAGCGAGCTAACGTATCCTGAACGTCGATTCGATGCGACACCTCTGGCCTCGTTGACGCTCGCCTCCTCTGCCCCCCCCCCCCTCTCCCTCTCCGTGCCGTTGTTGCTGCTCGATCGCAGGTCCATGAACGAGTTGAGTCAGCTGGAGAGGCTGGACTTGGGCAGCAATGAGATCTCCGATTGGGTGAGTCTGGCGAGCCCAACGCTCGCGCTTTTTTTTAGTTGGTATCCTCTCATCCCCGAGCGCAAACGAGGAGCTCCCAGCCCCTGCTCCGCATGCCCTATAGCCGTGGCTACTCGTCACGTGGCCCGCTCAAACCTGTGTGGGATTTGGAAGATCTTTTCCTTCCCCCACGCCTTCAATTAGCACGCTTGGTTACTTACGGTGCGAAAGAAATTCAACGTACGGTACATACGACCGCTTAAGGGAGGGGTTGGGGGGATGGTCCCGGTGGTGGTTGTGGTGGCTTCGTCCGGTGCAGGATGAAACGTGCGTGCCCTTTCCTGAGGCGGTTTCCTTGTTCATGTTGTCCGCGTCCTGGCCGGTCGTTAACGATCCTCGCAAACGGCGCGCGTGTGAAAACAACACCAAATTATCCGCGGGGTTGGGGGGGGTTTGTTTCGTTTGATTCACGGACGTTGGCCGTAAAGTTTTGCCGCCCACAGTTTTCAATCGCAATGAACTTGATTCACAGAGTGGCGGAGACCGGGGAGGGGATTGTGGGTGGGGGGTCGGGGGGGGGGAAACAGCCTCTGTGAAAAATGCCATTAAAGTAAATAGTTTTCTACAAACACAAAGGGCCCAGGTGAGTGATGGCCGTTTTAACCTTGGAGGGATCGGAACTGCGCTGTCGAGTTAACCGAGGCATGCTTCACCTCGTCGGCGTCGGGGGTAGGGGGCTGGGTGGGTGGGGGGGAATTTGACCCCTCTATGCTCATAGTGACTTTCTTCACCCTTGAATTTGACCGACCAAGCCCCCCCCCCCCCCCCCAATTCCCCGAGCCGGTGGATGACTCACCCTGAAACGACACCACCGCACCGTTTTTGGCTGCTGGTGCGAAAAGAATCGCAGGAAACACAGGCAGGGCCAGGTGTGTGGGTGCTGGCTTGGCTTGTAGCGATTCGTCAATTAATGTATTCATGTCCTCACCATACACACGTGTGTGTGTGTGTGTCTACCTGCACGTGTTTGTCTTTGTATCTGCCTCTTATGTTTGTGGGTGTCTGCATGCGTATCTTTGTGCCTGCGTGCCCTCCGCGTGCCTGTTCGTCTGAGCGCGCCTCTCACTGCCGCGCATTTCGTGACCGCGCCTACTTGTCGGCTCGTCTCCTGTACATTTCCGTACGTGCGTGTCGTGAGCGCCTGCATGCGCACCCTTGTCTCACCGCGTGTGCGTGTGCCCGCGCGTCTCTCCGCACGTGTCTGTGCGTCTGCGTATGCAGCCTTCCGTGCTGGAGCACATGGTTGCCCTGAAGGAGCTGTGGATGGATGGAAACCAGCTGCAAGCTCTGCCGTCGGTCAGTCGCTCTCTTGGGAGTTGAAGCCACGGACGAATACGTCTCTCCCGATAGCGTATAAATACCCAAACGACAGGCCCCGTCGGATGGTTGGGTGGTCGGGCGATTTACAAGCAGTGCGTCTGCACGGGTTCAAGATCGGGTTAGATAGATAGATGGGTCTTTGGAGGCCAGGCGTCTCGTATATATAGACTTGCACAGAGACCTGTACGTAGACTAATGTCGAGACTTCTTTTGAGTTGCGTAGAGACGCCGCGTACTTGCGTAGAGACGCGCAGGTTTACACGGGGGACGACACGGAGAGCTTTTTATTGTTTACACCGAGACCCTTAGACTTGCACAGAGACGCCATCGACTTGCACAGAGGGACGCTGTAGGCTTGCGCAGAAACCTACAGTGTCAACTAAACGTGGAAAACACCATGAAAAAAAATGTACAACGCAACTAAAAATAAATATTCAATTCAACTTAATGGTTATTTAACATTACTTATGAATAAAAACCGTTCTGGTTAAAAGCCAAACCAAACTCCCATCGCCTGCCAAAGACGTTCCTTAAACGCAACGAGGAACAACAGTGCCCCGTGTCCCCCATTCGGTCGAACGACGTGAAACGTCTCCGTGACCTTGTCCCCAAGGGTTTGGCCATTGTTGTGCTTAGCCTTGTTGGCCCCATTTAGAACAATTGATATCAATTTCTTGGCGGCCGCCTCTGGGGCAGTAAGCCTGCGGCCCCCGTTCGAGCTGAGCAAGCGAGTCGTTGCTTCTCTGGCCAAACCGATTGCTCGGCACCTCGGATGAAAACGGATGAGGCGAGGGGAAGGGGGGGCGCTTCCCCCCGGAAGTCCGTTCAGTGGAGGACGAGGTGGGGCGTACCCCGCCATGCCTTACCCCACCACACGCGGAATTTCAGATCGACGGACCGTGGTGAACCCGCATTCGCACACACTGCCGGGTGGACGGAGGCAGCAGGGGCGGGTGGGGGCACGAAGAGGTTTGAGAAACTTGTTTAGGCTGCTGCTGCCGCTGCCAGGAGATGGGAAGCCACCGGTGGCCTCTGGATCGCAAGTCCAGTGTGCGAACCGTCACACTGTGGCAGCTCCCTAGGTTGTACATAGCACTTGTGTTGTGTTGCGACGATGGACGCGAAGACGGAACCTCTTGTAGGGGGCTTTCACGCCAGTTTACTATGACAGGGAAAGTACACTTACACCAGAGGTGATAGGTGTCTGCTACACTGGGTCCTTCTTGTGGACCACAGGCTCTACTCTTACCTCTAGCCTCGGCTATCCCCTTGGGTTCTCTCACTCTAGTCGGGACGGTTGTTCAGCCAACACCGCCCGACCGAGGAGCGCAACCCCTCTAACTCTTAGCCGGCTCTCACAGATTCTTCGAGCCCTGCCCTCGGCTATCTCTTCGGCTCTCCCACTCGTCGAACTCGGACGGGGGTTTCAGCCAACACCGTCCGGTCACGAGCGGGAGAGACCTCCTTCAGCCGCTCTCGGTCCCGGCTCCCACAACGACCTAGCTTTCGTCACGGCGGTTCCCCTAAAGTCCCCTTGGGCGGCTCCTCCCCCTTTCTCGGACCCGCCCTCGTTCTTCTCGATATCTCCTTACAGTGCTCGTGACATGACGTCATTACACCTCACGGCGCTCATGACGTCATTACACCTCACGGCGCTCATAACGTCACGTCATCCATTACTCCTCTACACTTGCATAAAGAGATGAATATATAAGTAACGTTTTGGGCAAGGGCCCTTTTTCACCTGCTTATTTTGGATTAGTTTAGGACTCTCCACAAAAGTCTATATGGGTCTATATGTGAGTGAAAGGGTCTCTGTTATGTCTATGAGTGTCTGTGTAAGTCTATTTGGCATCCATAAGTTTAGTTCTTTGGACAAGTCGACAGAAGATATCTGCTATGAAGAAGGGCCAATGCTCAAAAATGTATTCTGAGATGTGTTTATTTCCTCTTGGAGGCAGGCCTATTGACGGATATGTTGACTTCGTTATTTGTGCTCGTGGACTATTGCCAACGCAGTATCGCACGAAAATATTTACAAAGTTGATTAACGAGCCCAGTGCAATAACAAGAGGCCTTGTCACGTGCTTTTCCTCTTTACGAGTTTTTTTTTGTTGTTGGTGTCATTGTGTTTATTTTTAGGCAGTTGGGCACGCGACAGTTTGGCCGCGTTTCCGTTGAATTATTGAGCGTGTGCGTACCCCCGCACGTGCGATTCCTCCGCCTCAGGGCCTGGGGAATTTGAAGCGGCTGAGCTACTTAGACGCCTCGAAGAACCAGGTGGAGACCATGGACCCCGGCGTTGCTGGCTGCGAAGCCCTCGAGGACCTGCACCTGTCGTCTAACCTGCTCTGCCAGCTGCCCGACGAAATCGGTGCGTCACTGCCGGCGATTTGTTCGTTCGTCGCTCTGTTTGTGTTTGTTTTGACGTGGTCGTTTGTGTTTTTTAATATGAGAAATGAATTGAAATGCAAACCGAAGGTACAGCCTTGCAATTCGTTTCTGACGCCACTGCTGAAGCCAGGGCCTCCACTAGAGGAAACTCTAAAGAGCTCCCCCACTCTGGAGGGCATTTATTTTTTGACCCCTTCTACGCTGGCCCCAACCGCTCATGACCTGCCTGCCGATTGACTAAATTGTTACTGGGCGGACAAGAGGCGGGGGGGGGATTTAGGAAAACGGCGTCCATTCTTTTAACTCCTGTGCCGGGATATCGGTTTGTGATACCGGTGGGTGATACCGGTGGGTGATACCGGTGGGTGAATATCGGTGGGTGAATATCGGTGGGTGAATATCGGTTGGTGAATATCGGTGGGTGAATATCGTTTGGTGAATACCGGTGGGTTTTTGTCGTGATTTAAGATGCCGAAGAATGCTCGTTTGCTGGCAGCGAATGATGAATCATGTGCCAAGTTTGTTATTGTATTGTTTTTAAACATTAATTTTAGTCGGCTGTGGTGTCGCAAGTCGTTACACGTGGACTACATAAGCATTTAAGTTGAGCGGTCCAGATTAAGTTACTTTAAAAACCAACAAAAAATTCAGACAACTTTGTTTACTTCATTTCTGCTTTAAATGTTTGAAATAAACTTGGAGGGGGAGCTGAGGTGGGGGGGGCAGAAAGCAAAACAAATTCCCTTAACGTAAGTCATCCCTCACGGCGGTTTGTTATTATTTAATGAGCCACATCTTTTGAAGAGAGTAGCCTCGCTTATCTCCCCGCCGTGATGTCGTTTATCTCCACCTGCTGCACCCTGTGTGGATAGGAGAGTAACTACCGGCACTTTACGGAAGTTACAACTACGCAACGTGCTGTTCTTTAATCTGAAATCGCATCAATATTATTTTTTACTTTTTTACGTTTCACGTTTTTGAAGGGATCGCCGCCAGAGGCATTGTAACAAAGGGCAAGACTTAAAAAATTGTAATGAGGCTGCGTCGTTTCCTGTGGCAGTCTGCTGCGGGTGTGACATGATTTCAAGAATAGATCCATCGTACAAGTTTTTTTTGGGTTAGATCGCGTATATGTAAATGCGTCGTTAAATCCACCACCACCCGACACAGCTATTTAGTAAGGGTTGTCACGTAAACAGAGCATGTTAATTCGTTACTAGTACAGCACACCGGTGTGTTGGAGAGCAAAGCCACAACATCTACAATCTGAGTACGACGATTCACCAGTAATTACAACTTGCTAATTGTGACTAATTGTAACTGGCTAGTTGTAATTACTGGCGAAACGTCGTACTCAGATTGCCTACGTGTTCAAGAATACGTGATGAAACAAATAATTGATCCTCGAATCAAATGATCGCAATCTGAAATCGTGACGATTTGTCGGGTAGCTATCGGTGTTAAATGGCCCGCTCGCTTTACATTGTGACGTTCCGGACAACGCGACGGTAACGCAACTGGGTTGACGAGAGCGTCGTGTGTGCGGTCGCGGTTTATTGCCGTTCACGCCGTGTGGCTCCCCCCGCGTGTTTCTGTGGCCGCGATGTTGCCCCCAGGCTGCCTCAAGAGCCTGACGACGCTCAAAGTGGACGACAATCAGCTGTCGTTGCTGCCCGAAGCCCTCGGAGAGTGAGTACCGTTGTCCGGTTGCCCGTTGCCCCTTTAGAATCACCGCGCAGTGCGACCGGATCGCCCGGGATATGCGCCCGATCTTGTCAGATCCTGGAAGCTCAGCAGGGTTCGAGCCTGCGTTGCGCTTCAGTGTGCGACCGCCCTCCATAAAGCCCGGTGTTGAAGGCTGCCGCAGGGCTGCATTGTGGGCAGGAGCGGAGGGGCAGGGCATCAAAATTCACTGTTGTTACTGTCTCCCCCAACGACAGCTTTGACCAACGTGGTGAAGTATTGCCATGTAACCGGGCGCTGTCTCTTCTTTGGCTGCCGATCCATCAGCAGCCTCGTCCGTGTGGTTTGATGACGCTCGCCCCCACCCTCTTCCGCCTTCACGCCTCGCGTGTATCTCATTTCGCCCCCCACCCCCGCCGCCACCACCCCCACCACCCCCCGCGTCTGTTGTGCTCAGCCTGGACAGCCTGGAGGAGCTCGACTGCAGCGGGAATCAGCTGGAGCTGTTTCCGGCCGGCATCGGTCGTCTCGCCAACCTGCGCACGCTCACCGCCGACGAAAACCACTTCTCCTCCCTGCCCCCCGAGGTGACGATGTCGTCCCTGTCTTCCCCCCCCCCCTCTCTTTCTTATCACGGTGCTCGCCCCCCACCCCCCAGGTCCTAGCTCTTGGCGGCCTTGTCCTTGCTGTGAACTTTGCCCTCCCTGTGGTGGCCTTGCCGCTTTTCTAGGTTGTCGCTTTTCTGGGTTGTCGCTTTCTCCGTAGCCGTCGCCCTTTCAGGGGTCGGAATCTTTCTGTGGCTCTATTTTGTCGTTTCGCTTTCGTTCTCCGTTCGCACTTGTGCCGTCTGAGGTCTTGCTAGGCAAGCAACGAGATTCGGAGACCCAAGTCTCTAGCGACGCGCACATCGAATCGCGCGTGTGAGAATCCACGCACTTCCGAGCAATGCCGATTCAATTTCGATTACGTGCCATTGTTACGTTTGGACCAAATGAGGTGAACAAAACAGTGCGAATGGGAAACAGTACGAATGAGTGTAGAAATTAGAAAAATACGAGTCAAATTGTGACCCCCAGTCGTAACGATCGTGGGGGTGTGGTGAATGGTTACAGTGAGGGAAAAAAGTATTTGATCCCCTGCTGATTTTGTACGTTTGCCCACTGACAAAGAAATGATCAGTCTATAATTTTAATGGTAGGTTTATTTGAACAGCGAGAGACAGAATAACAACAACAAATTCCAGAAAAACGCATGTCAAAAATGTTATAAATTGATTTGCATTTTAATGAGGGAAATAAGTATTTGACCCCCTCTCAATCAGATTTCTGGCTCCCAGGTGTCTTTTATACAGGTAACGAGCTGAGATTAAGAGCACACTCTTAAAGGGAGTGAGCCTAATCTCAGCTTGTTACCTGTATAAAAGACACCTGTTCACAGAAGCAATCAATCAGATTCCAAACTCTCCACCATGGCCAAGACCAAAGAGCTCTCCAAGGATATCAGGGACAAGATTGTAGACCTACACAAGGCTGGAATGGGCTACAATACCACTGCCAAGCAGCTTGGTGAGAAGGTGACAACAGTTGGTTCGATTATTCGCAAATGGAAGAAACACAAAAGAACTGTCAATCTCCCTCGGCCTGGGGCACCATGCAAGATCTCACCTCGTGGAGTTGCAATGATCATGAGAACGGTGAGGAATCAGCCCAGAACTACACGGGAGGATCTTGTCAATGATCTCAAGGCAGCTGGGACCATAGTCACCAAGAAAACAATTGGTAACACACTACGCCGTGAAGGACTGAAATCCTGCAGCGCCCGCAAGGTCCCCCTGCTCAAGAAAGCACATATACATGCCCGTCTGAAGTTTGCCAATGAACATCTGAATGATTCAGAGGATAACTGGGTGAAAGTGTTGTAGTCAGATGAGACCAAAATGGAGCTCTTTGGCATCAACTCAACTCGCCGTGTTTGGAGGAGGAGGAGGAATGACCCCAAGAACACTATCCCCACCGTCAAACATGGAGGTGGAACACATTATGTTTTGGGGGTGTTTTTATGCTAAGGGGACAGGACAACTTCACCGCATGAAAGGGACGATGGACAGGGCCATGTACCGTCAAATCTTGGGTGAGAACCTCCTTCCCTCAGCCAGGGCATTGAAAATGGGTCGTGGATGGGTATTCCAGCATGACAATGACCCAACACACACGGCCAAGGCAACAAAGGAGTGGCTCAAGAAGAAGCACATTAAGGTCCTGGAGTGGCCTAGCCAGTCTCCAGACCTTAATCCCATAGAAAATCTGTGGAGGGAGCTGAAGGTTCGAGTTGTCAAACGTCAGCCTCGAAACCTTAATGACTTGGAGAAGATCTGCAAAGAGGAGTGGGACAAAATCCCTCCTGAGATGTGTGCAAACCTGGTGGCCAACTACAAGAAACGTCTGACCTCTGTGATTGCCAACAAGGGTTTTTGCCACCAAGTTCTTTATCAATGGGCAAACATACAAAATCAGCAGGGGATCAACTACTTTTTTCCCTCACTGTACATGCCCTCCCTGTGGCCCTGCCCTCTCTGTTGCCCTGATCCTCCCTCTTGCCCTGATCCTCCCTGTGCAAACGCTGTTGCAGTCTGCTTTGCCAAGCGCGGAAGTTAAGATTTCCATAATAATTGACAGTGATATTCTAGGGATTTAGAATGTTCTGTTTCTTTAAAGGTATTTAAATTTCCGACAAAGAAAATAGGAACATACTCTACAGGATTTGGAGTCTTTTATCGTTGTGGAATGTGAATGTTTTTACTACGCTCAACAAAACGGAAAGCGAGGAATTTGTAAAGAGATTGGGGGCAGCAACTGTGAAATGTAATTCAACGTTTATCAGACATACAAAGAATAAAAATGAAAATGTAATTTATTTATCCTGAAAAACCTCACCTAGTCTCCAGACCCTCTTTCAAGAGGAATCCCTGCTTGCAACATTTTGGTATTTCGCCGGTTCCATTTCAGTAAGGTTCCTTTGCGTTTGGTTAAAAATAAAAGTCTACTTAGAGGAAATTCACCACACGTACAAACGGCTAACTTGAACAACTCCTCGCAGATGAGTTTATAACCTACTTGCCACACTGCCGCCTTCCTGCAGTAATTTCTCGATGAAAACACCTTCTCCTGGTATGCAGGAGGTCGTAGGTTCGATCCCGCCCCTGTCGCCCGTATATTTGGAGTTTGCGTGTCTCTTCCGGTGGTCACGTGGATTTTTCTCCAGGCCCTCCGGTTTTTTCCTCCACATTTATAAATATTCGTTTAGATCATTTGGTTGCCATAAATTTCCACACAATGAACCACTTAGTTGAGCTATCATTTGTGGCCAGGTCACTTCTGAAAAAGAGCCTTACCTGGTAAAATACAAATACATATACCTGCGTGCGTCTGTCCTAATAGGTACTCACGAATGACACCCAAGGACTTGATGGTGGGACACTGTTATGACAGATCTTGGAGGTTGCTTGTTCACTGCTCAGTGACTGGCTGGAACAGGGTGCAAATCGTTGGCAGTGAGCTGTAGTGGTGGCATCATCGGTTTTTGACCACGTTGGCCATCATTCCATCTGGAACGCTCTCCCACTGCACACACGCAGCATGCAATCACCTTCAAGGCTCACCTCTGCAAGATCTCACACGTCCAGGGCCTCACCTGTGCATTCTCGGCCCTTCAGTCCCTCACCCGTTCAGGCCCCTTCCTGTTCAGGCTCTCACCTGTTCAGGCTCTCACCTGTTCAGGCCCCTTCCTGTTCAGGCTCTCACCTGTTCAGGCTCTCACCTGTTCAGGCCCAGTTCCTGTTCAGGCTGACATAAAATGGACTTTGAGCTCTGGCTCGATGCCTCCGAGTTCTCGATCGAACATTGCATCCATTTTACGATATATGCACGCATTCCGAATGTTGTTTACTCTGATTATTATTATCTTGGAACAGTTTGTAATGCAACACACGGTGGTGGGGGGGGTCTTTTGTCTTTGTCCGGCACAGATCGGGAACTGCAAGAACGTGACGGTGCTGTCCCTGCGCTGCAACAGACTCGAGGTGCTTCCCTCGGAGATGGGCGACATGACTCACCTCCGAGTGCTCAACGTCAGCGACAACCGGTGTGTGCGTGCGCGTGTGTTTGCATACGTGTGGGGGGGGGAGCGGCGGCGCAGTGGTCAGCCCCCTGCACTACGAACCCGGTGACCCGTGTTCGATTCCTGCTCACGGCTACCAATACCGAATACGATTATCTGAACTGGTTCTGGGTCTCCCCTAGCTCGACTCGGCCTCAAATGAGTGCCTGGTGCAATGTGTAAACATTGCCACTAGAGAGACAAAGGCGGTCGGGCGTGGTATTGGTCACCCACCCCCCTCGTGTACCGTGCTGGCCCTCATAGGTGCTCGCTAACAGCATTTACCCCAAAAATGTGTTAAAGCTATATCGGTGGTCTTTGTGTGCATATATGAACTAGACATGTGACGATTCATCAATTAAAACAGATTCTCGCGCTCACGATCCTTGCATAGAATTGTCAGAATAGTTTTTTTTATTGACACTCTAATGTTTGAACCGGTTTCGGGCAATCGTGACAATTCATCAAGGGGCAAGGAATTGGTTATCGCGCGCTCAGCTGTGATCTCCTTATCCTTTGAGCGTTAGTTGGGCTTACCTGTAACGGCTCCACCAATGAAGGAGGATCATCTGCACGTGGCTTACAGTTAGAGTCTTAGACCCATATTCCTCACTACGGCTCAGGCTTGGCTCTGCCCCGAGTGATCCTGCTCAAAGCCACGCCTAATTTTAAATCTCAATACATCGGTCAGCAACACCAGCTCTGTGCACGATCCCAGCCACGCTCAGAATTTCCACTGGCCGAGCCTGAGCCGAGCCACGGCTGACCCGCTTGCATGTTTTTGAACAGAACTGAGCGGCTCAAAGCCTGAGCTGAGCCCCCCAGTGTCAAGGAAGGCCGTGGTGTGACTAATAAATAATGTGGCCCTTAAAATAGATTACCATAAAGATGATGGGGTGTGGTTCATTTTACGGCATGTTCAGTTCCCGGACAGGCCAAACTGGTTTTATGTAGGCGTCACTTGACCAGCTGCTGTGAGGTTAACGAGAGTGCTGCTTGAGGATGGTTTCATAACCCTGCTCCCAAACGGTTGACTCACCCACCTACCACACCCCCAACATGGGGCAGTGTGGAAGACACGGTTTGGTTCTGGCTGGAGTGTGGAGGTGAAAATCAGTGCTGGCTCGTGGCTTCAGGTTTAAGGAGGCTACAAGACTCCATCCGAGGGCTTCTAGACTGGAGTTGAAACATGGTGCAGGTGGCAAAACCGGAATGTGCCAGAAGAAGTAGCTTTATCCGGCATCGGTGCTGTCTCTGACAGAAGGGCGCATGCAGGGCATGTAGATTCGCAGGAGAACCGGTCTAGTAGGGGCCCTGTGCTGGTGCAGCAGCATTGTCATCATCATTAATATCACAAATCATCAATACATCATCCATAGAGCATCATTTTCAGCTATCTATTATAATTAATCATTTTTAATGTAGGCGTTCATACAAATAGATCCGTGTTCCCGTGATAAATATACGGAATAATGTGTCTAAGAAATTATTTTGCGTGCAGTGTCTTCAAATTATACGCAAATTTTACGCAAATATATTCTTGCGCGGCTAAAACAAGACGACTAACAAGACAGGCAACGTACAAGACGGGAAAAACCGTGAAGAAGACAATGGGATAGAATTTGAATTTTAACCCCGAATTGCGAGAATTCATCTGACGAATGGGCGAGTCGTTCCACCCGTGACCCAAACAATTCACCTGATGCGAACAATTTTCTGTTTCAGACTCAAGTTCCTTCCGATCTCGTTCACAAGCCTGAAGGAGCTCACGGCCCTGTGGCTCTCCGACAACCAGGTTCGCCACCACCAACCGCCACAACCCAGCAGTTTACCGCACATTTTATTATCTCGCTTAAACAGCTGTACTTTTTTGCTCAATGGTAACCCTTTGTGTCTTGAGATGAAGATTCCATTGAGAGCTCTGGCAAAGCACACACTGTGTACCCCCCTTCATTTTGGAGAATGCCCCACAAAAGTGGATGTCACAGAGCTGCCTCTGAGATCCCTTAAAGTGACGTCTGGTCCACGCAATGGAGGGGGCGACACTTTATCACCCGCTCTGCCATATGAGAGCCATTAATGTTCATTACGTGACGGTCAGAGCGTTCTAGATTTAAAGCTTTCGTGACTGCAAGGATCCATACTCTTTGGTTCTATTCGGTAAAGTCACGTAGGTAAAAAATAAAACAACAAAAATCACGACGTTTCGGCCACAACACAAGCGGCCTTCATCAGGTGAAGGGATCAGGCTGTCTCGAGGACAGCGCTGGAGTGAAACACAGCCACGCTCAGACCGCGACCTTTAAGCTGTGTGCGAGGAAACAAGGTGCCTTGACAAAGGAATTAGCATAAAAATTAGCATTTGATTGGCCGACTTAGCATGATGAACGGTGTAGAGGTGGTGTACATGCGGGTGAACATGCCGGTTGGCGCGGGGGGGGGGAGGGGGAGTTTACCTATTGATGGTGTGAAAAGGGAATTTAAGCAGCTGCGAAAGTTTGGGGTACCACTACTTGAAAAATATACTGTACCATTGAAAATTAGTTTAATGTTTGGTTCGATTTAGAACATCTTTCCAATGGTTGCTTAATTTGAAACCATCTTCTCGGTTGAAATTGTGTCTGTGTTTGTAGATCTGAATTGCCTCGTGAACAAATCTCTGATAAAAACCCGTGGGTTTGCAAAGAACCTTGGTATTGGAGAAAATTTTATCGTGATCACCCACAGCGTTGTAACAGTGATCAGCTACGGCAGAAGAATTCGTTCTGCCATGTTTCAAATCTGATTTGTGCTCGCGAATTCGGTCAGAGACATGTCGCTTTGTCTCCCCGATATAGCAATCACCGCAGGTACAACTCAATTTGTAAACCCCGGGGTACTGTAAGTCAGGAATGACATCCTTCACGGATGGGATCAGATCACGAATTTTGTGTACTGTATTGAACCGGACCTGGATCTTGTGTTTGTTTAGAATTTTGGAAATCTTTTTCGTAACGCCTGCTATATATGGTAGTGTGATGGTTTTGACCGGAGTATCAAGTGGTTGTTTCTGTATGGAGGGAGAAACAGCTTGGCGGATGGTACGGTCAGAGTATCCATTCCTTTTGAGGGCCAGGTGTACATGTTTTAATTCACTGGTCAGGTGGTGTTGGTCTGAAATGCAATGAGCCCTATGGTATAAAGTTTTGATGAGAGAATTCTTTTGGGCTGGGTGGTGGTGGGAATCAGGTTTCAAGTAGGAATCTGTGTGGGTGGTTTGCTGTAGACAGAATGCCCCAATGAACTATCAGGTCTCTTCTCAAACAGAACATCTAAGAATGGTAGCTTGCCATCTCATTTTCAGAGCTCTGCATTTAAGCCCAACCAAATTAAGTGCAGAACCAAATGAATAGTTTTTATCGTGTGTGCAAGTTATTGGTGACCGGACCACTTGAGGACCCAGATTATTTGGATTATTTTGCTGCTATAAATGGCCAAATAATGAGCCATTTTGTTGAGCTATCATTTTGTGGCCAGGTCGTTTCTGAAATATAAATGAAATACCTCAGTAGGCTTTGCCTGGTAGGATGGGGATGGTTTAGTTTTACTTGGGTAATTCGTTTACATTTCTTGTACTTTGCACTCCTATCGTATTTGTGTACTGTTTGTTGTTGTAACGTTCTGACCCGCCCCTACTGGACGTTTGTGAAAAAGAGCTTTATAGCTCATCGGATTCTTCCAGTATAAATAAATATTCCGATTAATTCATACGCCTGCTGCCAGCAGTGGTTTTATGGTTTTGGTGCCGTCTAGATTTTTCCACGTTGTGTTTTCGTTTGCCGAGATTCCAGATCTGTTTAGTTTGCTACCCTAATTCCCCACGCTCTCAAAAATCTCGGCCTGTCCATCAAACCTAGTTGAAACGTCGGACAGACGGGCAGGGGTGAGTGAGTGAGCGGGTGGGCGATATCGCGAAATTATTGGAGAATAAATGAGTAAAAAAAATATGACAGATGAGGCTGTGGCACAGAATCCCTATGTGCCTTTTGTGTGCTGCCAACCCCCACCCCGTGTTTGTGTTTCTTCACAATTACAAAACATATTTTCTGCTGCCTTGGCAGTAGTATGCTAATAACAAGTGCCAGGCGCAATCGCCTTTAAGAGAAAAAAAAAGTACGTTGCAGAAGAGAGAACAGCTATTGCCCGAAATGTCACCTGTTTTTACTTTTTCTTTTTTTAAGGCAACAGTGTGCATCGCCGAATGTTTGTTGCCCGGTTAGCGCGCTGCGCTACAAACCAGGCGACCCGAGTTCGATTCCCGCTCATGGCCAACATCGGTGACGATTATCTGAACCGGCTCTGGGCCTCCCCGAGCCCGACTCGGCACTCAAATGAGTACCTGGGGCGATGTGTAAAGAAGAACATCGCCACTAAAGAAGAACATCGCCACTAGGGAGAGAAATGCGGCCGGACGTGGTGCTGGCCACCCCACGCCCCTCATGGGCAGTGCCAGCCTTCATAGGTGCTCGCGAACAGCACTTGCCCCTACAGTGGGGGGCGACGGGGCGGCTCGCCCCCCACCCCACCCCACCCCTTGGGAGTAGACCGCGACGGCCGCCGGTCGCCGTGGTAACGGTGGCCTCCCCTCTCCCGCATGCGTGCGCCCGTCCCCTGTCGGTTGCAGTCGAAGCCGCTGATCCCGCTGCAGGTGGACGAGCCGGCCGATAGCGGAGAGAAGGTCCTCACCAACTACATGTTCCCGCAGCAGCCCCGCGCGCCCGACAGTGAGCACGCGCACAGCCACCACCAGCCGCACCGTGCGCCACCTGCTCCCGGCGGTTGTTGCGTCACACTCGCAGAAGAGGGGAAGAGCTTAGATGCCCCACACAGGCACCCGGGTCGGGAATCGCACGCCCGGGGCGTTCTTGTTGAGAGGCCACGAGTGTCGACCGCCGCGCTGCCACCGTGCCGCCCAAGTGGCGTGGCCCGGGACTGTGACAGCCCAACAACAAGCTGGGAAGCATTGGGCCCTTTAATTCACAGGGCAAGACGTCTCGTGCACGGCGAGGAGACTGTGTGGGTGTCGAGCAGTAGCGGATGGTGGAGCAGCGGCTCGCACGCATGTTGTATGCGTGTGTGCGTGCGTGCGGATGTGCACACGAGTTGCTTGTGAATGTGTCTTTGTGTGCGGTGCGTGTGTGCGTGTGGTGGAGCATGTGCAGTGTGGGAAACAGGAGTGTAGTGATTAGCGTGCTGCGCTACGAACCCGGTGGCCCGAGTTTGATTCCTGCCCACGGCCAACACGAGTGACGATTATTTGAACCGGTCCACGGCCTCATCTAGGTCGACTTAGCCTCAAATCAGTACCTGGTGCAGTATGTAAACATCACCACTGGGTAGACAATGGCGGTCGGGCGTGGTGTTGGCCACCCACCCCCTTGTGTGCCGTGCCGGCCTTCATCCCCGCTCGCGAATCAGCGATTGCCCGAAAGGTCTGTTAAGGCTATACGGGGGTGGGGGGGGATCTTTGTCTTTGGTGCGCGTGCAGTGGAGTACAAGTCGGAGAGCGAAAGCTTCAACGCGGAGCTGTGGGAACAGCAGAGGCAGCAGAGGACGCAGGTCGCCTTCGAGTTTGACGACCAACGGGAGGAGAGGGACCCCGACACTGTCAAGGTGCCACACGGACGCGCCAAGTGCAGACGCAGAACTCGTGCAGGAATTAAATAAACTATCGGGGTCGATCGCTCTTCTGTCGTTTGTTGCGTCCAATCCTACAGGTCACCCGCCAAATTATTAACTTTTTCCCAGCCGCTTAAACCATATACTCTCAGCAGCTTTCAGTGTGGACAATTAGATGTGCCGGGGGGCCATTGGCGACCCAGCAGGTACGTGTATCTGTGGCGGTACGTACTGTGTAGGCAGGATAACAGTTTTCCTCCCCCCTCCAAACTGTGTAGCCGCGTGCGTTCACTGTAACTGCTTAGACTGTCGATTAAGTGTCTCGGGGGTGACTGAGCACGGTTGGCTATGTACGATGCGAAAGAAGTTCAGCATGCATGCATGCATACATACGAAAGATAATTAATTTCGGGAGAAACATTTCGTGCCGTCATGCCGCGTGCGGCCTTTTATTTTTGCACTAATGGCGTTGCGGCGGCGATGCCGGCAGGAGGGCACCCTGAAGCGTTACCCGACGCCGTACCCCGAGGAGCTGAAGAACCTGGTGAAGACGGCGCAGAGCGTCGTCAACAAGATACACAGCGACGGCGCCACGGCCTGCACCGGGTCCGGCGCCGCCGCCGCCAGGGCGGCCACCAGCAAGGAGGCGCTGTCCGCTCCTGCGGACGCCAGCCAGACGCCGGGATTGCAGCCGACTGCCGAGGTAAAGCGGCCAGGCTTCCATCAGGAGTATCGCCATCGTCGCCATCATCATCTTCCACGTAGTCCACTGCTGGGAGAAGGCTTTGCAGGAGCTGTCATCATCTCTCATGGTCCTGTGATGTAACAATCCATCTAGCGCCCACGCACGAGCTGATTTAATCGCTCCCATCTCTACGGTGTCCATCCTTTGGCTGTAACTCCATTGGTGGTCTCGACTGCTGGCCATCAACACTTGTAGCGATGCGTCGTAAGTGGCTCCACTTACCGGTCGGTGTGACGTCTCAAACCTGCGTGTGTTCTCTAACGCACGTACCGGACGGGTGTTTTGCCGCCGGACTGAACTCATCGTGGGACTGCCGGACGGAAGTATTTGTCAACGCGACGATGACGATTTTGGTGGTGCCGCCCGCGCAGGGTCTTGCGGAGGGCGCCAGCCGAGGGGGGCTAGCGAGCACAGTGGACGGCGGAACGATCCAGGCCACCGGAGCGGTCGGCCTCGTGTACAGCAGCAGCACCACTTCCACCGTCACCAACGCCACCGTCACCAACACCACCGTCATCGTCAACCACTACACCCAGGTGTGTGGCTCTGTGTGCGTAACGCGGCCTGTGAGACTGCCAGAAAGTTAAGCTGCTTTTAGCCTCGGAAGAACATTTTAGTTCCTGACCGTGTCCTATGTGTGTGTGTGTGTGTCTACATATATGTGGGGAGTGTATGTTTGTTCATAATAAAGATTTTTGGGTTTAGATCGCGCAAGTATAAATGTGTCGCAACCCTCCACCAATGACACAGCCAGTAAGGGTTGTCAAGTAAATAGTCAGTTACTACTTCAGCCCACCGGTGTGTTGGAGAGTAAATCCACAACATTTACAATTTGAGTACGACGTTTCGCTGGTAATTACATCATCATCGGGCGATTTGCCAGAATAGTCGAGCAAACCACCTGCTTTCGTTCTTAAATAGAGCAAGATGACGTAATCACTGAAACCCATCATATATGCAGAACTTCTTTTGCACCATACGTAGCCAACCGTGCAAATCTTGAGACTTTAACCCGAGCGGAGATCCGTTTTCGAGCCCCTCGCTTTGCAACGCCATCGCCGGCTGCAGTCAGAGCCCCGCTTTCACTAACACGCCCGCCTGTGCCCGCCTGTGCCCGCCTGTGCCCGCCTGTGTCCGCCTGTGTCCGCCTGTGTCCTCCGCAGGAGAGCGAAGAGGACAGCGAAGTGGAGGAGCAACGCAAGGAGGAGGAAGAGAGGAAGCCCTTCCTCTCGGAGCCACAGCAATCGGTCGCTCGGTCGCCGCAACTCTCCGCCTTGTCGCAGCCCGTGAAGAGAGGTGCCCACGTGAATGCTGACTGTCGGTCATCCCTTCTCCTTTGTGCCAGTCGTGTTGGGCACCAACCCCTATCTTCATCAGTGGCCGGAGCTCCGCAGGGAGCTCCCGCCTAAAACCGACTCGTCATCCCTAGATCAAGGACATTCCCCGCCGGCCGTCGGTTCTCCGCCGCTATCTGGAATCAATCCCCCCTTCAAATACGCAGCATTGATTCACCCTCCACCTTACAGAAGCACCTGAATGCAGGTGCACCTGAATACGCTGCAGGTGAATGTCCGCGTAGCTGTCTGAATACAGGTGTGCACCTGTTCTGGCGAGCTCTTCGAGTTTCTCTGAGCCGGGCGCCTCCGAGGCTCGCACAAACTTTTGTCCGCTCGCCAAATTTTGCGAGTGTTATAAGTTTGCCTACTCTCTGGATGAGTGGTTAGCGTACTGCGCCTAGCTTGGCTACATTACAGCTCGATGCAACACTACCATGCAACTTTTGAGTTGTGTCGACAGGACGCTTGAGTCTTTCGCGGAATTGCCGCCGTCATTTGACCCACGCTTCCCCCCCCCCCCCCGATGCCCCCTTGTCGCGCCGTCTTCAGCCGAGGGGGCCGTGCCTCTCTCAATCGGCCTGGATCTGGACTACAACAGCAACCGCAACAACAGCAACGGCCTGAGCCTCGTGCGTGACCTCCCGCTGCTGCCCCCCCCTGCCGCCGACAGCAACGCTCTTGGTAGCTTCCACCGCCAGGCCCAAGAGAGCCTTCCGGACCAAACCAAAAGCTCTCCGAAAGGGTAAACATCCCGCCCCCCCCCCCCACTCATGGTTATTTATTGTTGTTATTTAACGTGATGCTTGCTGCTAAGATCCTGGGTTTGAATCCAAGCCGAGTGGCCTCTGACTGAACTGGGTTCCCAAGTCTAGTGAGTTGTTGGTCTCAGCCCAGGCACCAACAACTGCAGGCCAAAAAAAACCACCGCGTGAAATTTGGTTTCAGAAACGAAACTTTGATTGCCATGGGGACAGACTTTGCTGTCTGTGACATTACTATTGTGTGGAGGACTTCGCTTGAAGGAATCTCAGAGGTAGCTCCGTGATATCCGCTTTCGTGGGCCGTTCTCATGCCGCCGATAGCACAATTGGGATAAAATTAGAGTTGAAAAAAATCCCAAATAACTTTTCCCTTGAGTCGTGTAAAATGTTATCCGAGTTGATTATTTCGTTTATTTTTGGGAGAATGGTCACAGTGTTACATTCACAGGAATGCGGTGCACAGGGAGGTAAGTCGGGTACATGTATCGGGCGGTACAGCAAGTGGCTGGGTTGTTATCGGGCTGTCTGCCAACGTTAGTTGTTGTTCCCCTCCTACGTGTGGGTTTTCTCCAGGGTGCATTTTATCGGAGCATTTCTCTGCATGTTTACTGTGAACGAAGAAGGGGTTGAAAAAACACTGTAGGTAAAACAAAAAAGATTACACCGGAAGTGAATTGAAATTTAAAATATTTCTGAAAAGAGTTGAAAGAAAAATCTCACAATTAAGAAACGACATTGGCGCACACCGGTGTACATGCACAACTCCGATGAGCACACTTGGCTACGCACGGTGCGAAAGAAGTTCTACATACATACTTTACAAAAAAAATCTCCCTTCATTTTACATTAGCATAGCCTTATAACGCAAATATACGTACCAATAAGTCAAATAAATATGTAGTAAATAAAAACCCACATTAAAAAGCAGTAATTTAAGATGTAACATTTTCACTTCAGATACACGCAGGTTGTTTTGACATAGCTCACCACGCTGGTCAGTGTGGGGGTTGATGAAGGATGAGGTGCCCAGGACCGGCTTGGGTATCGCTCACCAATGCACATTAGCCACGTCTGGGAATTGAACTCTGATTGCCAGGTTCCATACTGCAGTGTGATAACCACTGTGGGACTGTCAGCTATAACGCACTTCTTCTTTCGCACTGTACGTAGCCAACCATGCTCATCGGAGGTAAATCACACGGACGAGAAATTATGATTCTGACAAAGGAAATGGAATAAAAGCCATGAGTTGCGTTAAAAAAAACGGCGTGGAGAGATGCACGCTGGGAATTTCACTGGGAGACGGAAGCGAGAGAGGGGCACACGGATCGGGGGAACGAGTTCAAATCGGACAAAAGTAGGATGGCCGAGGGACGCCCATCGTGGAGATGGAGCTATGAGATCGGTACACGTTCAGGAGCAAGGTTGATGGCGGAATCATGGGAATTTCAGGGCTGGCATTGATGTGGGGGGAGGCCTTCATTCAGCAGTGGATTGACCGTGGCCGATAAGAGTTTTCTTACAGGCGGTGTTAATGACGAAGATGGTGAGGTTATTTTCTCCTTATCCCAAATTATTTTTCAAACGTTTTCTGTGGCATCGAGCCACGAGACGAATAAGTGCCCTCCCTGAACTCGGTGAGCAAAGTACTGCACGTCATTCGCAAGCAAAACAATTAAAATAGATTGTTGCACCCTGTTGAGAAAGTGGTGGAGCGGTGGCAGAGCGGTTAGCACACTGCAATCCGAACCAGTCCTGGGTGCCGCCCCCCCCAATACCTCCACACCAATCCACGCTGACAAAGCCCCAAGACCGCCACGGAGCCTGGCGAGTCCTCCATCCAGCAGTGGAGCGACAAAGACCTTCAGTTGCTTATTGTCAAAAAGTGTTGGGACTCTCTTGGGATGCTGCCCCCGCGGTGTTATGGTTCTCGCACGCTGGGGTGATGCTATCTCCCGGCACGGCAGTTAACCCTAATCCCCCCACCACTATTCACTCAGTACGATAAATGGGTTCACCGCAGTTCGATCGGCAGGTCGTGTTTGGTGGGGTAAAGTGTGGGTACGTCCGCCGCTGCCAAGACGTCCGGCCAGCGTGTGGAGGAGGAGGCCAACAAAAATACCCCATCTCAAGAGGGGCTTCCTAGAGCTGCTTCTCGCGGGAGGCCCTTCTGCCAGCAGTGACATGAGAAAGCGATTTCAGGGCTGCGCCTCTACCTTCTTTTATTGTCTCTTGCGCTTTGGCGCTCCGGACCCCTCACGCGATCGCCCACCGCGCTCCTTCTTTTCTGGCGAGCGGCCATTGTTGGCGCGTGTACCCCCTCCTCCCCGCGCCCGGTCGCCGTGGCGACGCGTCTGAAAGGGGCCGCCGTGCGGGCAATGTTGCGTGGCGGCGCCGTTTCCGCACCGCCGCCCGCGAGGGACCGACGGCGCTCGCCCGTCCGACCGCCCGACCGTTCGCCCGCTCGCTCGTGGCGAGCCCAGGGATTGGGTTACAGCCGTTTATGGGTCTTGTGGCGGGGCCACGCGGGGACCGCTGACGGCGTTCTTGCGTCGAGATTTTTTCCCGCTTTTTGCGAGGCTCAAAAGGCGGCGTCCCAAGCGGGACGTTGAGGCCCCATGGCATTGACCGCCGGAGAGAGGCACAAGGAGAGAGAAGTGCACAGAGGAAAACGATCCGTGCAGCCGGCCCCATGCGACCGTGGGACTTTCGGCCTAAAATACGATGGCAATACACGCACATACTCTTTGGTTCTATTCGGTAAAGTCATGTAGGTACAAAATAAAACAACAAAAATCACGACGTTTCGGCCACAACACAAGCGGCCTTCATCAGGTGAAGGGACCAACCTGTCCGCTGGTCCCTTCACCTGATGAAGGCCGCTTGTGTTGTGGCCGAAACGTCGTGATTTTTGTTGTTTTATTTTTTACCTACGTGACTTTACCGAATAGAACCAAAGAGTATGGATCCTTGCAGTCACGAAAGCTTCAAATCTAGAAAAGTTACACGCACGCCTTGAACCTCCCGACGCGCACGCACATGAGCGTCACCCCCCCCCACCACACCCACACAGATAGATTTAGTAATCCATTTCTGTACTGCCAGTAATGGCTTGCACAACGCCCTTGTGTTCCCAGCTCGTCTGTAGTCAACATTGGCTGCTGAGATGTGATTCGGTCCAGTGCATCGAGGGCGATTTGGTCATTATCATTAGCAGCAACAGTAACGGTATCATTGTTATCAGCTGCATCATCATTGTCATCATCATCTTTGTCGTTATCATTGTCATCAGCAGCAGCGGCGCTTGTTCCTCCTGCATTGCAAAGTATAGGATTGAGTGGTTCCGATGGGCTTATAATAATTGCTTCTGCTGTGTTATTTTTCCCCCATTTGTTTCTCCACCTGGATTTGCTCAGTTAATCAGGGGCCAAAATCACCAACTTGGAATTTTCTGTGTGCAAAGTAAGGAACCATCCATCTTCATTTCCATTTTTGCTTAAAATGCTTTGAAGTGTAAACGGTGGCGAGGCTTTGCTCATTTTTGGCAAATTTTAAGCCGAGGCATTTTCACTACACCCCCCAACCCACCACCGCCCCCTCACTTGCGTAGACGTTGCCAATCCTGCCGCGTACGTGCAGTGTACGGGGGTCGATCTTGTTTGTAGCCCTCGATGCCCTTACGATTCCCGCCATGCGATTCGTCGCAGTGGCTTGGAGATGTTAACTACCTCGCCAGTATACAGGAGGTCTTGGGTTCGATCCCGACCCTGATGCCTGCTGTATATTTGGAGTTTTCACGTTCTCCCCGTGGTCGCGTGGATTTTTCTCCGGGCCCTCTGTTTTTTCCGCCCACATTTAGAAACATGCGTTTAGGGTATTTGGCTTCTGAAAAAGAGCTATATAGCTAAGTGGGCCTTACCTGGTAAAATAAAATAGTTTAGTTGGCAGAATGAATGGAATTGATTTGACAAGTGGCCGGGTTCCTCATTATTTTATGCTCTTGCCGTGCCAATCCGTGCACGTGAGCACACGCGCGGTGTAGAAGCTCGCACGCCGGTGACGTCCAGCGAGAGTGGTTGAATGAATGATATCGCGTTTCGCGAACTGCACGTTTAACTGGGTTTCAACGCGCCTAATGTGGACTGTCTGGAAATTGCAGGCCGGTCTCGTTTTCACTTTGGCGGCCGGGAACGATTACATCATACGCAGGGGTGGAGCCAGGGGGGGGTGACAGGGGTGACATTCTGCGTTATAAGTGTACGACACTCGGTCTGGCGGACTCCGTACAACTGCATTGTCAGAGCGTGTCGCCAACCGATGGCGTCTAGTTCAACAGCCTGACTCTCTAATCATTCTTGAAATAAAAATTTGTTGAACGTCACCCCGGCCTGAAATCCTGGCTCTGCCCTTGATCACACGGCCGGTGGAGTTGTTTTATGTGCAGGGCAGCTAAGGGTTGTTCGTCAGTCTATATGCGTGTGTGTCCACGTGAAGGTCGACTCTGCTTTAAATGAGTACCTGGTGCAGTGTGTAATCGCCACTGCGGAGACGAAGGCGGCCTGGCATGGTGTTGGCTAACCCCCACCCCCTCGTGTGCCGTGCCGTCCTTCATAAGTGCTACTCACTAACAGCACTTGCCCCAAACAGTCTGTTAAAGGCTATACAGGGGGGGATCTTTGTCTTGGTTAGCTGACAGCAGTTAACCGAACAGCTCAGCAGATTTGTAATGACTTCTTAGTGTTTTTTTTTTTAAAGTAATGAACAAGACGTCAGCACTTGAGCAAGATTCCTAATCGTTGTTTTTTTAATTGGCAATCAAAAACATTTATATTTTCAACATGTGCACCCCACCCCACGCCCTCCCGCACCCCACCCCACCCCATTCAACACTTACAAAACCTTCACTGTAGTCACTATTCCAAGGACATTCACCTAATAAGTGGGCCTGAGTTGCAATTTGCAAAGCCCATGAAATGCTCTTAATTTGGATGAACCCCAGCTTGATTGCCGTGCAACGGGCATTTCCGACGAGCAGAGCGCGTGGCCCCTGAGCGTGGAGTTGTGAACGTAGCGTGGAGTTGTGAACGTAGCTTGCACGAAGAGTCCTCTGATGCACCGCCCTGTGAAAAAGTTTGAACGGATATCTCGTCTCAGTACATGTTACGGGCATCTCAATCGATTACAGAAGCCTGGCGTTCCGTTTGTCCGTCTGTCTTTTTGTCCGTTGGCCCGTCAACTAAATGATGAAACTTCCACAAAAAATGTTTTCACCTCCCCCCCCCCCCCAAAAAATTTTCTGTAGGCATATCGACTTGTACACCGTACATACAATAGAGCCCAGATGTATTTGTAGGCAGGAGCTAGAAAATAAGGCAGCTATAGGCCGGTGATATTTTAGTTAGTAGAAATAAGGAGAGGGAAAAAAACTATTCCGGTTTACGCCATTTAGTAGATCTCTGCGGTAGTGCTGCACAGCGCTCTGGTTTGTCAAGCGTGTTGCTCGGTGTGTTGTCCGACGTTTCGTTCCATGTGCTCAAGAAGTGCGACACAGTGTTGGATGACACGCACGGTACAACCCGAAAGCACATCGGATGATGCCGGTTTTGTAATGGTTGTCTTGACGATAGCCTCGTCATCATTACGGCAATCATCCTCCGTTTGTGACTCCCTCCTACCCTCTGTTCGCGGCGCCAGGATCTCTGCTCAGTCGGCGGCGGCGGAAGCCGTGGGCGGCGCAGTGAAGGTGAACGGCACGCCGGGCGGCTCGGGGCGGCCCACCGTGCCTGCAAAACCCAGCGTCCTCTACTCCGCCAAAACCGAGAGCGTGGCGCTGACACAGAGCAAGGCGGCCGTTCCCACACCGCCGAGCGAGTCTCTCCGGCACGACGAAGCTGACGATCCGGCCTTCCTTCCCCCTCCGCTCGGAGCCTTCGAGCGGCAACAACCAGACGCGGGCACCGCGCCGGAACGGCGGGTGACCGCCGCGGAATATTCGTCGGCAGTGGTGACTGCGGCAAGCGTGGTGACGATGCCCTCCTCGGAGCGGAGCGAAGCCGGGACTCTGGTTGTCGCGACGGCAGAGTACGAGCGCTCGCGGGAGCCTCCACATGCGAGCGCGGCACGCGTGCCGCTACCCGCCCTGGCCCGGTCGAACAGCGCCAACGCGGCAGAAACCGTGCCGCAGGGGGGGGGGTCCCTGACCGCGGGGACGGCGGCATCGGCGGCATCGGCGGAGAACGCGGCGGACGTGGGCATCCCCCGCAGCCTCTCGGCTCCGCTGCTGGACGAGGAGCAAGGCGGTCGCGCCGCCCCGCCGACCGTGCCCGCCAAGCACGTGATCTACCACTTCGACAGCGACTTCAGCCCTCGCTCGCAGCGCGGCCAAGCGTTGGCGGCGCAGCAGCAGCAGTACGGGCACGGCACTCACGATCGCTACGCGCAGCAACAGCAGCAGCAGCAGCAGCAGCCGCCAAGGCCGGTCGGCGACACGCAGTTCATATTCACGAGCCGGCACAGCTCGGCCTCCTCGCTCCCACGAACGCCGGGCAGCAGCGGAGGCGGGCAGCAGTTTGGCTACCGCTGCGTGGACGTGCCGCCGGGCGACTGTGCAGATTACGGCTACGTGCAGGGGCAGCAGCAGCAGCAGCAGCGTCAGCGTGGCGGCGGCCTGGATCGGCAGGGCAGCGTGACGTCGACGGGAAGCGACGTGTCCGGGGCGACGGGCTACTCGTACCAGGGCTACGCCAGAGGCATGCCACACAGCGAGAGCGACTACATGAGCCCGCGGGACGTCGCCGCCATGAGCCGCGGCGGCGCGCCCTACGGCTTTGCCGCGCCCGCCGGCCGGCCCGTGTCGGCACGGAGTTACACGCTCGACTCGGGCTTCTACACGCAGGTGGGTCCGGCGGTGCCGAACTGCGGTGACCGGGGGCATTGTACCGGCGGTGGGGTTGGTGCGGGGGAGTTTACAGGGGGTTTTAGCGTCGCTTTTATTGCGGACGAATTGTTTGTCCGCTCTTTTGTGTTGGATTTTCGTCGGGTTGCATGGATAAAGGTGCAGCCCTGCAATTTCCGGCTCACGCCACTTCCGGCGAAAGGGCCTGCGCTCAAGGGAGCTCGAGAGAAAACCGTATTTTTCGACGGGTTAGTGTGGTTATACATCTAGGAGTTGGGAGTACCCACATTTACCCCACCAGGCACGACCCACCGATTGACTGACTAACTTTGTTGTACACATTTAGTTGGAGCGTCCCAAGCTGCTCCAACACAAGGTGAAAGTGGTTTACTTTCTCTTTTGGTTTTTAAAGAAAGCTTTGTTTGACAGCCCGGTACGCACAGCTTGGGTGTGTGTGTGTGTATGCATACAAGGTAAAAAAAATGAATTTTTTTGGGATTATGCCTTTTGAAGCTCTAAGCGTGAGGGATTAGAACATTTCATTCTGGTTGAGCTTGGTTTGTGTGTGGATGGGAGACTGCCTGGGATTGCCATGTTTGGTGGAGGCTTTGGGTTGGGAGTTGACCGGGAGATGGCCGTGTGGCCATGAATTGAATCGGACACTCGTGTATGTGGGGTCTTTCCTCCGGGTACACCGGATTCCTCCAACGTCAAGCTAGACAGCCTTGAAATGTAATCTGCCAAACATCCCAATGCAGTGCCCTCATAAAAAAAGATTTGCCTCTAGGTGAGGCTTTTCTGGATGAATAAATTACATAATTATACCAATGATTATTATTTTATGACGTTTTACGCATTCAATTTCACATGACACCCAATTACAGCTGCTTCATAATCCTTTTAAAATCTTCACTTCCCCATTTATTGAGCTGAGAAAAAAAGTCATTCGAATTCCACTGCGATACTCCCTGCACATCCTGCTGGGCGAATAATTGATGTCGTTAAATTATCGCCATGAGGAAATCGGGCGAAGCCTCAGGGCATTTGGGGACGACGCGGTCACGTCGCACGGGGAGGGGGGGAGCGGGCACGGAGGCGCCCCGAGGACACGCCGCGCTCGCTTGGGCTTCGGAAGATCAAGGCTTGAAAGGCTCTCGAGCCGTCACGGCATTCGTGGGAAATGCCGGCACCAGGAGGAGAGAGGTGCAGCCACGTGGGGGTCCCACGCAGGAATGCGCCCTGCTCACCGCAGCGCCGCGTCTGCTCACCGGCGTTCGTGCGGCGGACGTGTCCCGCAAAATTTGAGACTGTGCGGGAGTGTGTACGTGTGTGTGTGTGTTGAACTTCTTTCGCACCGTACGTGCTAATCGGAGGTGCGGGGTGTAGTAGTAGGGGTAGTGGCAGGGTGGGTGGTGGCGGGGTGTTGAGAGGCACAGGGCGGAGGCCAGGACCAGGTGACCAGCCGGTCAGACTTCTTGCGGCCGCCCCCCGCCCCCGACCACCTCGCCCGCGTATGTCGTCCCGGAAGTACGCGGCGTACTTCCGGGACGACATTTTGTTGGGGCCGTACCTCTCCGTGTGGTTTGACCGTGCGAGTTAATGGCGGGGGGCGGGGGGGTGCGAGAGAGGCTCGCCGTCAAATGGGGCGACACAACAACGGCAGTGTTTCTAGAGTGGGGAGAATAAAAGCGCCCCTTGTTCGCCGTAAGGAACTTGAGTAAGGGAAACACTGGTACATTAAGGAAAAACACAAAGTAGGAGTTTTAACCTCTCAGAGTCGGTGCTCTGAGTGTTGATACGATTCTTGTAGGTGTAGAGCAAGTGACCGGGTTCTCACTGATTATTCAAGTTCATTGTTTGCTTGATTAATAATGAGTCTGAAGACACATTTGTCAGCAGGGTCCTGCTTGGGGAAGGTTTGGCAAAATATAATTTGTGGGACGTTTGGCTTCATGCAGGATGCAACTTCAAATAGCAACTCTCTATGCAGAGGACCGCAGAGCTTTGGGGAGAATTTGGTGCCGGCTTACTGCGTGGCTGCCCTTCCGCTCATCTGTGGTTCGTCGCGCCCCTGAGTCGTTTTGTCTCTTCGAGAGCGGACGAATATTATGCACGTTACATTTTGATTTAAAGCTTTCGTGACTGCAGGGATTCATATTCTTGGGTCTTTCAGTGAAGTCACGTAGAAGGGAAACAATAAAATAATTAAAAAATATAAATATTTTATTGTTTCCCTTCTACATGACTTTACCGAAAGAACCAAGAATATTATGCACGTTACCAGTTAAAATCATTATTATCATCATTATAACTGGCAAAACCAGGAGAAGATGAATCGCATGTACAATGGGATGACACTGAAAGCTCTACACAGCCGGATCAGCCAACCTGCTTATTACACGACCAATGTCTGGCCACCTTGCATCCCAAGTCTCCGATGCTCGGCATTCCGAGGAACAATTCCCGGCGTCATGGCAGCGTCGACGCACACTCGGCACCGTCGTCGCCATCGCTAACGATCTCTCCGTCTCGCCCCCTGGCCCTCCGCCCCCCCCCCCCCCCCCCCCCCCCGGATCCAGGCCCACGGGCAGGGTGGCCGCCCCCAGTCGGCACGCCCGGGTCCCCAACATCTCGCGGTGGGCGGCCGTGAGCGCGCCCCCTCGGACGTCGACCCCCGCGCGGTGGGGATGGCGGGCCCCGGCGGAGGGTCCGGGGCCCGCGCCCGCTCGGAGTACTCCTTGCTGGCGGGGGCCTCCGGCGCCTCGGAGGCCCGCACACCACCCCCCGCGGACTGGCGCGAGCAGCTGTTGCGGCACGTGGAGAACCGCATGCTGGAGAAGGTGCGCGTGTGTGTGTGCGCGTGTGTGCTTGTGCACCTGGCCTGGCACAGGCGCCGCGGTGACGTCACCGTCACTTAGTAGCGAATGGCGCGTATTGGTATTGGTGCACGCATATGAACGTGTGCATGTCCCGTGTGTGTCTTGTGTGGTGCTGGCCACCAACCCCCCCTCGTTTTACCGTTCCGGCCTTCGTAGGTGCTCGCGAACTGTACTCTTGTCCCAACAATCTGTTAAGCCTACACGGGGGGACCTTGTCTTGTGTGGGGGGCGGTGGTGCAGCGGTTTGTGCCCTGCGCTGCGACCAACCCGGCGACCCAAATTCGATTCCCACAACATCGGCGACGAGTATCTGAATTGGTCCTGGGCCTCCCCTGAGTCGACTTTGCCTCAAGTGAGGTACCCGGCGTGGTGTGTAAACATCGCCGCTTGCGAGACAACGGCGGCCGGGCGTAGTGCTGGCCATCAACCCCCTCGTGTGCCGTGGCGACCTTCATAGGTGCTGCTCGTGAACAGCAATTGCCTGAACAGCCGGTTAAGGCTATACAGTGGGTATTTGTCTTTGTGTCTTGTGTGTCGTCTCTTTGTTGGTGTGTGTCTTTGTTGGAGTTGGCCTCGAATGACACGTCCGCACGTTTATTTAATTGATTTTTGAAATGCGGTGGCAGTGGTTCAATTAGCGCTTCGACCATTGGATCATCATCGCGCACTGCCTTCCAGTCAATCAATCTGATGCATGCAGGTGGATTAATTGATTATTGTAATATGAAGGAAGTGTGTGCGATAAGGATGATGATGATGCACTAGTACTGGGTTCCCACAGATCAATTCTGTGGGGGAAGCTGCACTGACTGTGAGCCTCCGTCAGGCAGATAAAGCGGTGGTGAGAGCATTCCGGTTTCTCAGTGGGTCTTTTGTGAGTCTTTGGGTCCCTTATCATGAGTGAACGGGGATTGCTGAAAAAACGGGGATCACTGAAAAAAAACACTCATGACGAATCATCCACCACCAAGCACGTTCCAGTTTCTCGAAGAATACATCAGCACACTTAGCCTTAAACTCAAACCCCAGTTTTTGTAGCCTCCTCAAGCTTTAGCCACGGGCCACCACTGGCCTCAAAACCACACTGCAAGTGCCCACACCCACCCAGAGTCCTCGCGATTGCGAACGTGTGTGACTCGGTCCCTTTAATCTTTTTCAGTTCCTCATTGAAACCCACGCGGCCGCGTCATAAATGAACCCGGGCGACCTCCGTCAGCGGACATGGCGGAGGGTGGGGGGGGTTGTGGTACTCGTTACCTACGGCGGTTAAACATCGCCGGTGGCTGCGTTCCGCCGCCAGAGTGAGCCTCGGGCTCGTTCGTCACAGGGAACGTTTAGCGGCGCAAGCGACACCCCGGGATTTCTGAACCGTCGTCGGTGCGATATACCGGGCGGCGAATGTGGGGGGGGGGATGTAGTTCGAGACGAATGCATAGCGGAGGACTTGCAAATAATGCTTTTGCCGCGCAGTGACGTGTGTAGTTAACGCAGAATTGAAGCCTTGGAAGGGCAATCTATTTGGTGTTTGATAATCTTAACACCTGTTTTATTGCCTATTCTTATTTTTCATCATATTGGACACTGGCAAAAATGTCCCATAGACATGTTAAAATGTGTCCACATGTGACCACACCATCTCATCTCAAGATGTGACCACATCACATCTCAAGATGATGTGCAAATAAGGGATTGTGCCCCTCTAGATATCTAGAGAAAGGGGGGTGGGTGGCTGGGATTTATTTAATTACTGTAGGGATTGAGGAGTATAATTTTACAGGGCAGAGAGGGATTTAAGCAGTTGGCATGGTGGAAATATGAAGACCCTTCATAGTGACAGTCACGTGCAGAAGAGATCATTCAATTCTTAAGCCTGTAATTTAACCGGTGGACCGATGGAGCATCATGAGGATGGGAAAATAAAATTTGGCAATCGACTCCGTGCTAGGTTTGGAGTTTAGTGGAGCACGTCCACGCAGTTTTGGCGCTCGCCAACTGTCGGGCTCTCTCTGCCGTCAAGCTCGCTGCCGTGGCCAAGGCTGTGACGGCAAGGGTAGTACGTCCGTGGAACTTCTTTTGCACCGTACGTAGCCAACCGTGCTGATCGGAGGTGCGGCGCAGTGTACAGAACCGCTCTATCAAGGTCACCGTTAGCGGTAAGCCACGGCGAACCGACGCCCGCGCCCCTATCAATTGTCAACCCGGCGACTCGATGGCAATTAGCGGCGGTCCGCGAGACGTTGAAAGGGTTGCACATACGTACGTTGAACTTCTTTCGCACTGTACGTAGCAAACTGTGCTTAGAGCAGGTTGCGGGGGAAGGACAACAAACTAAAACACAAGAAGCAGTTCTAAAGAAACGAGTTGATGATTTAAAAGCGCGCAGCTCCAGTGGCTTCCTAATATCGGAAGGAAGAGCGTTCCAGACGGCCGCAGAAGCGCACCTGAAAGCGCGCGATGCGGTGACCGTCCTCGTTCGATGGTTAGCCAAAAGCCGCTGCTGTGAGGATGACCGGAGTCCGCGTGATGATGGTTTATATATGGTGCTCGACGAGATCAGCAAGGTTTTGCGATTCATTTGCGGCAAGCACTTGAATGCGAGCGGGGTGGGGGGTTGGCGCTGTGTTTCCAGCTGTGTGTTTGCACGCTGGAACACACACACACCACGCCCTCCCTCCCTCCCTCGCTTGCATCGACCGCCACCTAGTGCCCCGTCGCGTGCGCACGCACGCACGAGGTGCGGCGGTTCAATCGTCTGTTTGTCGACTCCGAATTAGAATATTTATTCATACTGGAGGAATCCGATGAGCTATGTAGCTCTTTTTCACAGATGGTCCAGTCGGGGCGGGTTAGAACGTTACTATGTCAAGTAGGGGTGGGTCAAAACGACTCTGAGAACCTGGTGAGACCTGGGTTACAAAGCAAATACGATATGAATGTAAAACATATATAAAGGCGAGTATAATACAAAGTAAAAATGTTGTTGGGGCAAGTGCTGTCTATCAGCGACCACTTATTAATGACCCACGGCATACAGAGCGTCGGTACGGCCAGCACCACATTCAACCGCCTTTGTCTCCCCATTGCGAGATGTTGACATTCCGCATCTGGTGCCACATTTATGGCTTGGCACTGAACTGTAACAACAACCGCCAATCGGTTGTGCCAGGCGAAGTGCACTTTGAGGCCGTCACGTTAAGTGTAGTGGGCTTGCTGTCAGGAGGTCATGGGACAGACCCGTTAAGTGTAGTCGGCTTGCTGTCAGGAGGTCATGGGACAGACCCGGGTGCCATGAGTTAATTCCACACAGAGCCAAAGATTCCCCATATGGCCTAAACAGACTGTTGGGGCAAGTGCTGTTAGCGAGCACCTATGAAGGCCGGCACGCCACACGAGGGGATGGGTGGCAAGCACCTCGCCGGCCGGATTTATCTCCCTCATAGCGATGTTTACACGCTGCACCAGGTGCTCATTTGAGGCTGAGTCAACATACAGGAGGCCCAGGACCGGTTCGGCTCATTGTCACTGGTTTTGGCCGTGAGCGGGAATCAAACTCAGGTCGCCGGTTTCGGTGCGCAGCGCGTGAACCGCTACGCCATCGCTCCCCCCACACACGCGCACACATACACAAACGCACGCAACACCCATCATTGTCCCGCCAGGCTCCATCGATCACACTGTCAGCCATGCTTCACCCCACTCACCGCCAAGAGCACATCCCAGCCACACCCCTCCCTCTCATGCTCTCTCCCCCTCCCGGTCGTTACGACCACACCGGAATAACGAAGCAGGGCGATTGTTGTGGCTACCTTGACCTAGATATAAATAAAATATATAAATGTTTTTTATAGGAATACTGCAAAATGTATCATCCAGTAACACCATTACATAGTTCCATGTCTCTGCTTGAAGAGATGTATGTCCCAATGGGCTCCCATCTGGCTCTGTTGAGTTCACGTGTCTTTGTTTCTGTGTACTCGGGTGTGGTGCTGGCCTTCAGATGCGCTCGCTAACAGCACTTGCCCCAGCAGTCTGTTATGGCTATATGGGGGCTCTTTGTCTGGTCTGTGTGCTTCCCAATTGAAAAGTGGGGAAGCAAACAGGTGGTTAATCTGCCAGTCGACTCTTGTCAGTTAACCCCTAACACCTGGGTCTGTCTCGTGACCTCCTGCCAGCAGCAGAGAGACTTCGACACTTCACGTGACGGCCTCGGCGCCGCACATAGCCTGGCACAAGCGCTGCGGTGACGCCATCCGTCACTTTGTGTCGAATGGCGGCCGTGTTTGTAATTCGCTGTCAGTCGCTGCTCAGCTACTGCCAAGGAAGGTGAAGTCGCGAAGTCATCTCGTGACGTGGCTGCGGTTTTTTTCGAAGCTGTCGCTAAATAAAGCTGTAAATTCTTCAGGCAAGCAAGAATGTCGTGCTTCAAAAGGGCACGGAGTGTTTCAGTATAATTGGCAAAGCACTGCTCTTCGCATTTGCGCGATGGACATTCCGTGGAATTGGATTAACAATGATTTGAGCTTGTGTCCCAGGGTGGAAAGTAATGGCTCAAAAATGTCCAATTATGGACAATAATCGTACGTGCCACTGTAATGATGACATTGGATATGCTGCTGATGACGATGATGATCCACCGTTCGTTATTAACTCGATCCAAAAGTACCATGCGCCTCATGCGTGTACCTTTACAAGCGCATCTGCGCCATCTGCGACGTGACCCGCTCGTCAGCGGTGCTGCCAGCCAATCGGAGGAGGCCCTACGCCAAAATAATGTTTTTGCGTGCGTTGCCACCCGACGACAAACGTTACATTCTGGACAATCTGATGTAATCAAGTTAATGGATCTTAATATATATTTATAAAAGGATCTGGGTTTCAGCTGATAATTTGGTGCCACCCCTATTATTATTATTGGTGAATCCAGGGCCCCTTGAGCTGCTTGGGTGGTGACCTAAACGTTCACGTGGTTTGCTCGTGCCTAGCGCCACCAACCGCCGCTCGTCCTTCACATCATCCGTTCCCCGCCCTCATGCCGCTGTTTTTCTCTGCTGCGCTTCTCCAGGGTTCTCCGGGGATGCCAGGCAGCCCCTTCGACCCAAGCGGTGGCGGCCCCCCGCGCGGGTGGGGCACGGTTGGCCGCGGCGACGGCGGGGGCGGCGGTGGAGGTGGTGGCGGAGGTGGTGGTGGCGGAGGGGCGGCCAACTGGGCCACGATGGGCCGCCCCAGTGGCGGAGGTCACATGACGGTGGACGGACCGGCCTACGGAGCGCGACAAGCCGCACGCGACTACAACCGGGTGAGTGCGGTGGCCGTGGTGGTGGCGGTGGTGGCACAAAGCCCGTGGGCCCGTTCTGGTCGAGGCAAAGTTCGGATGGATCGCATAGAGATTTGTCTAGGCTTAGGTGTGTTCTTAGAAAAGTTGGCAACGTGTCTTGTTAAGATAATCAGGGTCCGCTGAAGCTGCACTGTCTTAGGGGCCAAACATCCCAATTCTTTTCTTGCGTATTGCAATTTGTTCAGGGGCTAAATGTCGATGTTGAGGGCTGCTAGCCACGAGAGGGCTTCAGGAGAGACAGAGAGTGTAGTTTTGCTCTTCCTCCGCTGAAGGCGCGCAGACCACATTGGTTGACTCTACAGTCCGTAGTTTGGGTGGCATGGCCAACATTCCAATGAAAGAACTACATGAAAAAGCCTGCAGGCCCAGTCATGTTTTCCTGGGAAAACAAAGGGTTTTTTTTACATTTATATTTTTAAATATATAAATTGGCTGAAAATAATTGGATTATTTCCATTCGTGTGGAAGCGGTTGAATGACCAGCGCAGTGGTCAGCCAAGTGTGTGCTCCGAACCCAGGCACCATAATTTCGATTCCCAACCACGTCCAATATTGGCGGTGAGTGAGCGACATCTGAACTGTTCCTGAACCCTTCTGCCTTCGCCAACTCACGCTGACCGACATGGCGAAGTTCGTCGGGCTTGTAACCCAGAATGTCTCGTCGGTCACGTGCAGTTCCCATCCCAGCCGCTGCTCGGTGGCCCCGTGGGAGGATGCGAAGACTCGTTCGGTGCCGGGCGACCTGGGGATCCCGGGTTCACCGGGGTCACCGGGACCCTGAGCCGCAAGGACGTCCCGCCGGAGACGCTCAAACCGGTACTGCGCACCACACCATGTCGTTGTGCCACATCACGGAAACCCACAAAGACGGCCACCGCATCGCGCGCTTTCAGACGCGCTTTTGCGGCCGTCTGGAACACTCTTCCTTCCGATATTCAGAAGCCACTGAAGAGCTATGCACTCTTAAATCATCTAGATTCACAAACTCATTTCTTTAGAAGTACTTTTTTTTTGTTCAGTTTGTTTGTCCTTCCCCCCCCCGCACCTCCGACCAGCACGGTTGGCTATATATGTGCGAAAAAAGTTCAACATACATTCATATGTGGTGTGACAGAGCATGGTGTGTATATTTGTTGAACTTCTTTGTAACGTACGTCACATCACGTCGGCGTCGCGCCACAATTCACGCGTCAAGCCGTGCCGCGCCACACCACACTGTGCCATACCACGGCGCGACACGACGCAAAGTGGCACACCGCGCCGCCGGCTGGGCATAGGCAAATCTGTTCTCTCTCTCTCCCCCTCGCCCGTTGCCCGGCTTGTGCCGGCGGTGCAGCTCTCCTTACCCAACGGGGCGCCCTACCGAGGCCCGTCGTCCTCTCAGATGGTTCGCCACCCGTCCCGCGAGGAGCTCATCGACTTCCTGGTGCAGAGGCAGACCATGCGCACGCCGGTACGCGCGCTCGATCCGACACTCGCTCACTCCCAACGCCAGCTGGCTTCAACGGCCGCTGGATGCAACACCCGCCGGCTCGTTGGCACACTCGCGCACGCGCTCATTCACTTGCTCGCACACTTGCATGCTCGCTCGCATTCTCACGCTGTTCTTTGCACACTCGCTCACACTCTCCACACTCGCTCGCTCATCTGTGCACACACACGCTTCCTCACTCCCTCATATGCTGACTGTAACTTAAGTTGTAATTGTACTATGATCACTCGAGTTGTAGTCTGCCTGAGCTGATTGCGCTACAGGGAATGTATTATTTAACATCGATTTATGTTTGTGCGGTACTTTCGATTTCAGTTGTTTTTTATTTCAATTTCTATTTGCTTCATAGCGCTACCTTTATACTTTTGTTGCCTTTATCATGTTGGTGACGCAGATTACTCTTATGAGGCTAACACTAGTCTCTTGAGTTCTCAGCTGGTTTAAACAAGAATAAACTCACAACTTGAACTTACGCACCTACCCCCTCGCACGCACACTCGCTCGCCCACTCGCTCACCCGAAGAGGCTGATGCCGTCTCAAGCAAGTGTGATTTGCTTGCCTTATTTTTTTGTGATTTTCTTACCTCTTCCCTACACTTACCACTCCTGTCGTTGTCTTCCTTCTGTGTTTTGTAATTTTCTAACCCGCCCCCCTACAGGGGGACGATGCGTGAAAAAAGAGCTTGATAGCTCATTGGATTTCTTCAGGATAAATAAAGATTCTGATGATTCTGTTGCCCCCCCCCCCCCGGGCCCGCCCGGTTGCTGTGACCGCTGCAGACGCAAGGCCTGCAGGTGCCTCACAGGGTTCCCAGCAACCCGCACTCCAACGGCTACCACACGGAACACGTGGCGGCGCGGCGGCCAGAGGGATACGCGGAGGAGGCACGGCGGCATTTCCACTCGGCTCGCACGCGGCCACTTTAGGCTTCGCCGTTGTTTTGACGTTCGTTCAACGTCCGTCGTTCAACGTCCGTCGTTCCACGTCCGTCGTTTTAAACTCGGGCGCCTGAAGCATTTTATGCACCAGCTCTGTCTGTCTATCCGTCTGTAACGGAGGCGCATGGTAACTCACGAAGACGATGCGTTGTAAATAAAGTTGTAGTGTAAAGCTGCGTTGCTGTTATAGGGGACTTGCGCTCGTGAAATCGGCCGCATTGATGAAAAAAAAAAACATAAATTATACAACCTGCTGTGGCCTTTAGTCTAATGTTTTTTTATGGAGTCATCACGTTTTTCCCCGCAAGTGTTTTTAGTTATTTCTCCTTTGAATAAATGAACAAATGTCGCTGCAGGTGGTGGTGCTCATCGAGAAGAACCCGGGCCTGGGATTCAGCATCTCTGGGGGCGTCGGAGGGCAGTCTGGCCCCTTCAGCCCTTCCAACATGGTACGCTCCGCCCCCTAAAAACATCCCTACGAGTTGCCCACTGGTGGCGGGGGGGGGGGAACCAGTGAGAGATAAGCGGAAAATTTGTAAAAAGTGTGCAAACTAAATTCTATTTTTTCTCATTAATGTCAACACCCATCTTATTAGTTGGGGTCTTTACTACTTTCTCGAAACACAAGTGCGGTATTGCCCCACTCAATCTCAAAACTTGACAGTGGGTGGTGATAGTTATGATGAAACACTGTGCAAACTCACTTTGTAGCCGAATGAGAGCCCGTTGCTGAGAAAAGTTTCCGTTATAATGGAGACCTTGTTTACAAAAGCAAACAATTAGGAATGGCGTTAGTCGATGCCCTGGTGGCTTAGGGGTCAATGAGCGCATGGGTTTGAATCCGGGCTAAGGTCGCACTCATTACAAACAAAGCGCTTGCCGCAAATGAACCACGATACCTTGCTGATCTCGTCAAGGAGCAGAAACCATCGCGTGTAGTCCGGTCATCCTCGAATGGTGGTTGTTGTTGTTGGTGGTGATTGTTGTTGTTGTTGGTGGTGATTGTTGTTGTTGTTGGTGGTGATGGTGATTGTTGTTGGTGGTGATGATGGCTGGGAGCAGTAGTGGAGCGGTTAGCGCGCTGAATACGCGGACCCGAGTTCAATTCCCGCTCATGGCCAACACCAGTGACGATTATCTGAACTGGTCCGGGACCTCCCCTAGGTCAACTCAGCCTCAAATGATAGCTGGTGCGGTTTGTAAACATTGCCACTCGGGAGACAAAGGTTGTGGTGCTGGCCACCCACCGCTTTCGTGTGCCGTGCCGGCCTTCATAGGTTGCCCGCTAACTAACGGCACTTGCCCCCAACAGTCTGTTAATAGGCTGTACGGGTGGGTCTTTTTCTTTGTCCTTGGTGGTGATGGCCACAACAATGGTTTTGATGATGGCGCCTGATGCTGGGGTGGCGGCAACAGGCTGATTTTCCTCTCGGTGTCACCTCCCGCGACCCTCATCCAGGGCATATTCGTGACGCGAGTGCAGCCCGACGGCCCTGCCGCCTCCCTGCTTCGTCCAGGGGACAGGATCGTGAAGGTGAGATTGTGGAGCAACTCGACACGTCCGTCGGCATCGAGCAGGCTTCTTAGACGAAAATGTTTTGATCGGAGCGATGCACAATGCAGGTGTATTGGGTTACATCGCGTAAAAATATAAATCTGTTGTTAAACCCGCCACCAGCCGACACGGCCAATTAGTATAGTTTGTCACGTAAACAGAACGTGGCCAATTCTTTACCAGTACAGCACACCGGTGTGTTGGAGAGCAAAGCCACAACATTTACAATCTGGGTACGATGTTTCGCCAGTAATTACAACTAGCTTCACCAGGCAACAGCCAGATCTGTGGAGAAATCCTCCTGTTTTGTTCCTTAAATAGAGGGAGAGATGTGATGACGTAATCTCTGCATCTTTTGCGGAACGCCGGTGAAGACAACAGCTTCATTTGCTTCATTCGGAGTTACTCCCAATTTTCTGGTGTGAAGAAAAGTGTCCTCCCCATAGACGTTAGTCAGTTTAACACGTAGTCTTTCGCAGCCAATATCATCCATAATACACGTTTTTTGGGTTAGGTCGCGTAAATATATAAATGTGTCGTTAAACCCGCCACCACCCGACGCACTGAATGTGCAATTGTAATAAAATGAGCGCATGCTGGTGCGCCGCTCTTTGTTGTGCGTCACGTCGACGGACGTTGGCGACGTCGCGTCACGTCCGTACGTGTGACCACGAATCCTTATCGCTCGTGCCTCAAGTTATCCTTGTCTCGTTAATCTCTTCTTTCATCTCATTCATCTGAACCCCTCTCTGTGACTCGCCGACCCATTGCTCGACGAGCCACTCCAAAAGCCTTCGCGAGCCAAATCTGGCTCCACAGGCCATCAATGGAGAAACCCTGACCTACTTCGCCAATGAAAACAAACTTTTGAAGTGTTTGATAATCAACGGTGATTGGTCTACGGAATTCGCACAACCGTGGATAGTCATGTGACCCGTGTGTGATCTGATTGGACGTTGCTTTCCTATTTGTTCACTGGGGAGAGCATTGATCATATTTTTTTACAAACCTACCTGACACTGCAGTCTAAAAGGCTGAATGTCGGGCTTGTAATAATAATGCCTTGATTATGTGACTTAAAATGCTCAATTCATACGATCACAATTAAACGCATCAAACTGTGTAAGAATATATTGTTATTTGCAAATCACTGAACTGCTGGGGGGAAGGGGGTCGGTGTGGTGAAGGGCGTGAATCGTCACTGGTGTACTATGCACTCCGTAAAACTAAAAAGGGTGTCCGTCTTTTGTCTGTGTGTGTGTTGTGTGCACGTGTGTTGTGCTGTCACATGGTGCACTCGCCAGGCCAACGGCTACAACTTTGCGGACGTGGCGCACGAGAGGGCCGTTGCGCTGCTCAAGGGCCTGGAGAACCCGGTGGAGTTGGTCGTGCGACGCTAACGCCCGGAGGCGTCGAGGGAAACACACGTGCCTAAACCACACCTCCTCCCTCCCCCTTTCTTTCCCCCTGCCACTACCCCCCACCCGTACCCCCCCACCCACATCCCCCCCCCCCCCCCAGAAGTTCGTCGGTCATTTATGTTTTTATTCTGGTGTCGATGCCTGTGTGAGGGAAAGTCGCAATAGCAATAATACTGTTTGCTTCCATATCAGCCGTTGCTGTTCAACAACGGTTTTTTTTTAAAGATATATATGTTATATATTATAGAGTGATGATTGGACACAGCTCGGGCGACGGACACTGGGTGAAGTGAGGGGGGTGGGGTAAAGGTCGGATGTCAGGAGCGAGGCGAACGGCAAGACATTCCCTCCCACTCCCAGGCGCGCCGATGAAGGAAGGGAGCTCGCAAGCGAACGACGTTCCTGCGTGAACACCTCCTGTCGCCACGCTCTTCTGTCGCCTCGTTTCTTCTGTCTGTACGGCTCGGTACACTCGGGGCGATCTTCACCGGAAACGCGGTCCACCGCGAGAAAGTCTGGCAACTCGGTACGGCTTTGGCCTAGAGTCGATAAGAGTTTTGTCGAGGCAGTGAAAACGGAGTTTGTTGAAATGTGTGTTTGTGATGAAAAAAAAGATGGTTGGTCTACTGATGTGAGCACGTGCTTTAGTTTTGGTAGTTGTGTAACCTCGTTCTGTAATCTTAAGACAAATGATTTGGTGATGCTGCTGCTGCGTTGTCAGTGGGGGCATGAGCACAATAAAAAAAACTCAACACATTCGTCAATAACACCGCCTTAAAATGAAATGTATATTTAAGGTGGTCTTTTGGCCAATGACCCTTCTTCATAATAACTTTAACTGTGCTATATTTGTTAATTGCGTTTGTGAAAGTTGTATTGTCCTGTTTTATGAGCTATGAAGAAGGGAGACTGCCCGAAACATCACAAATTATAGATATAGATGTTTTTACTTTCAAGGTCAAAGGGCCACAGTGCTAATGACCAATGTTTTGAGTTTTTTTTCTCTTTCCATAACCTTATTAAAATCTGAACTTCCAAATTGCCTACTTGAGGGGAGCAGTGATCAGATAGTGTAACCATGTTTGGGCAACCGATGATTTTTCTTTCCCACCCCCCTTATACAATAACACGTCGCGCGGCCAACTGTTGCTGGCTACGTTTGCCGTAAAGCAAAACGAAGGGGAAAAAAAATCCCTCGGTGTACCCCCGTTGATCTTTCGTTGTCGAAATTGACCAGCGAGGTTCGTCAGCTCCGAGACGGTTCCCGGTCTGCCGAGTGTCCCCGAGGTCCGCTTTAGGTGGTGAGCGTTGCCAGCGTTGCCCGCGCGCTCGTGTGAGGAGCCCCCCAGTGTGTGTGTGTGCTTGCGCGTGCCTGTGCGCGTCACGCGGATTGGATGTATAAAATGTTTAAGGCAGCAGCACACGATGAACTATGGGATTCTGAAGCTTCTGCAAAAAAAAACAAGTCAATAAAAAAAGGCCAGGCCTGTGGTGGAGGGTAACGGTCACACTTACTGTGAGCACCAAGCGAAGATTAGTATAAATAGCAGCGGTTAAGACATTACCGATACTGTATAGTAGTTTTGTTGTTGTTGCGTGTTTATTTTTTAAAACTTTATATATTCCGGCAAGCAAAAAAAAAATAACATCAATTGTTTCTTACTGTGATAATTTCTTCTCTCGAGGGCATCATCGTGTATATAAAGTTTGCATTAACAGCAACAACTAAAACATACACGCAACGTGTGGCCCAGGACACGAATATTCTCTTGTTGCCTGCCCTAAAACTGCTGCGTTCCCCTCGGTTTGTCTGATCGAAGTTTCAAAGCTGATCAAAAGTAACGGTCGGGCTTGACATTAATTACGGCACTCATCAGGAGCGGCATTGCCTGGGACGTGCAGTCAGGGCACGCATCTACAAGGCATATTCGTTGGGCCGCGTCCGTCTTTGAGTCGGTTTGATGGGTTTGGGTGTTTGTGGGGGGTGGGGGCCGTTGGTACTCGACACCGAGGCACCCGGTCCGAGCCGAGCTCCCAACGCTCCGCTGATGTGACGTGTGCAGCACCGGTCCCTTGTGGCATACCGCACGCGATTGACTTGAGATATAAACACGGGGGGGGGGGGTGGGGTTGAGACGGGCGGAGCACCAGGTATGACGCGAGGGCGGCTCGGGAGGTCCTGGCGTACCTTGGGTACAAAAATCTGGGGGGGGGGGGGGGGGAGGGGGGGGGGGCAGCTGAGCCCTGCTACTTCTTGTCATCTTCTTACGGTACTTCGGATCTACTGCGTAATCGTGCAAGGGGCGCAGCTGCATGCCCGGCGGACATTCTCATATCAATCGTGGTTTCGCAAGAAAAATAAATCCCCCATGCCTGCCCACGTGCTGGGATGGCGGTGCCCTGTATGGCTCTGGTTACCAAGTCCACGTGCTGCTTCCCAGCGACTTGGAAAATATTCGTCAAGAAATGAAGCCGAGGCCCGAGCTTCGGTTTGTTTGGGGAGCACGGTTGGGGCCAGGCTGTTCGGGTTTCACCGGTGCCCGTCGTGATGGATGTTTTTTCCCCGAATAGAGGAATCGATTCTCCACCGGAGTTCTGCAAAACTTGGCCATGGTCTTGTCACGCCCTGTGGGATTGGATGACTTTTTCTGCCTTGCAAGTTGAGCGACGTTCCTATATAATGAAATTGGGGACTATAATGCAAAAATAAATAGCGCATAATTGTTGTGGTCACAGCAATGTGGATGAATGTACCGTCAGTATAAATAGGAAAACAATTGAATTGTGTGACAAGAGTGGACATGCCTTGTAAAGGTTACAATACGGTGCACATCGACTCGATCTCATGGCTCGCAACATCTTGAAGGAGTGTGGCGCATGTGTTTTCAGACGCAGGTTTCTCATTCCAAGTTCAGTAACGAATGCCTGTTGAGCCATCGTTAAATCAACGCACGTTAGGTAGCGAGTGTCGGGAATACCCGATCAGCGAGTCTACCGGATGAGACGAGAGGCATTTTTAAATCACCAAGAGGGGCTTGAGTCTTGCGGTCGTCGTCTGCGTTTGTTTGCTACGAGCTTTGGTAAAAGGGCGATTAATCGAGATATCCCAAGATATTGCCCCACGTTTTTAAGACGCCGTTTTAGTTCCCATTCAGCGCAAGGGGGCAGGAGGACGAGGGAGAAGCATGTGAAGCCGGGGGGGGGGGGGGGGGGGAGAGGCAGTGGATGGAGCGGCAGGAGAGGTGGTCGTGTAGAGTCTTGTCTCTGGTCTTGTTTTGTCCTGCTTTTGACAAGTGCCTTCGACAAGTTTGCCTGTCCATGGACGAGGAGGAGAGCAATATTTTTGAAAGAGCCAAAATGATGTACACGCTTAAACAGAAAAAAAAAACTAATTTGTCACGTTACGTTTTTGCAGGTCGAGGGATGTTTGAACGGATTTTGTACTGGAATTAGAAAGTTGTAAAATGAATTAACCCTGCCTGATGAAGAGCTTTCCCAGATGTAATTCGGTGTCTTGGGGTAGTACCAAAACGGCCTGCTTTGCATTTTTACACTCAAGATTTTATTTTGTCGTGTGACTAGAGTCGCTAACCTGTGTAACTAAAGACCTGTGGTTGCATCGGTCGTTCCACTCGCTTATTTCAAGCTCTCTCCACCACGCATTAACTTTTTTCTGATGTACATAACAAGATGTGATTTTAACCGTGTATTATATTGACGCTTTGTTAACAGGGGTATTATCGCAGGGTGCAGTTTTATAATCACGGAGGGGTTTTTATTATTTACAAATTTGGCTGCTGACACTAGCGTTAATGGAGCACATGCATCAATCGTGGTTTTTTGGTGAATTAATTAATAGACTTGCGGATATCATGTACAACCCATTCTTAGCGATATATGCCTACGCGTGTTTACGTCCATCGTTTTACCTAATCATTTGTACAGGGGAAGCTGGATTTAATGTTCTTTTTCTAATATTTTTCTGGGAACAGGTGTTTTTTTTGTCAAAGCTGTACTGTAAAATTTAGAAGAGGAAAAAAAAACAGATGTACAATAAAACATTCCACTGGGAAAAATTGCCCACATTTGCTGTCTGTGGTTGGTGTGCAGTGTTGTTAAACGAGTCTGCAGCGCGCGCTTTTGTGTTTGTCGAAAGTCAAAAGCTCAGGAACGAGTTTGTAAAGTGGTCCTAACACTGAGCCAGCACTGGCCCGAGAGCTTTGCTTCGAACTCGGGGTCGTGTCTCGAGACGCCCATGATTACACCAGGTTAAGCGAGTTAATCCGTTTCGGCTTGCTCACCAATAAACTTAAACAATCTGACTTTACACTCTTGCCGAGTTCATTGTCTGAGAATTTGAAACGGTTTGACATGCAATGAATACTTTATGCAGGGAAAATGAAATCTGTACCCCGAGTGTGGGTAAATAAGCCAACCTAAGTAACCTCAATCCCAGTTCTGTGGCAACATCTTCAAGGGCTGTTAAAGGGACAGTGCACTGCTACCGCCAAGACTTCTGAGTGCAAGTGTTCCTCATAATGAGCTGGTAGCACAATATGAATATAATTGGGGGAAACAAACATACAGCCTCAAGGACCGTTTAAAACAATCTGGACTCTGTGAGGCTGTCCTGAGTAATTGACCCTCGGTATATATTGGTTGCTAAACAAAGCATTGACATTTGTTGTCACCACGGTTAAACCATCACGTGGCTTTGTCTGAACCCCAATGACTTCAGGTGGCAGTTCACCACAAGCCAGTCCCATGCATGGCTTGTTATAGCCACACTATATTTGGTTCTTCGAGCGATGGATCTACTTGGCTGCCTAACCCAGTGTAAAACTGCTTCTCGTGGCAAGATAAGCTAGAAAATGTGTAAAGAAATGTTGACTTTTAAGCTCAGGACAGACTGAATCAGTCGCGCAGAACAAGAGCGTTGCTTCATTTGAGTTTTATTTTTTTTGCAAATCACGCACAGTGGAATTGTGTAAACTTTCATTAAGCATTTTATACATATTTAAAAAAATCAAATCATCAGCTCTTGTTCAGAGAGACACTGGAGTGACTGTGTATGGCAACGTGCAGAAAATGAACACAGTGAATTACCGCACAGTATTCCCGCCCTAACAATGTGGCTCCGCACACAGTTACAAAAGTGGTTCATACGTGGCAAAGGCCATTTCTGTGCCAAAACGAGCTGCTGCGATAATTCTTGCACCAGTGCCGGGCAGACAGGCAAAGGCAGGCAGGCAAGTGGCAGTAATACCCATAATCTTCATGTAAAATGCACATCGGAGTTCATGCAGCCTTCATGAAATACTGCACTGCTCAGGTCAAGTGGAAGAAGGCATCAACCCTTCGTGTACAGGGCGTTTGAATGCGCACTGGGCATATGAGGCTGAATGGATTGATCAATTTAAAGTTGATTCTGAAACTCGCTCAACTGTCATTGAATCATGCACATAAGACTCAATATTTACGATTAATGCAGATTATATGCAAATTATACTGTTATATCACACGATCACATCCCGCGTCTACATAACTATCAACGGCACAATACAAGACCTAAGTAATTACCATCTTCTGGGGCCATGCTCTGCCACAGGATGATCCACTGGTAGCTGCATAGTTCAAAACAAGAAATGTCTTCTAAAATAACTCCCAACATGGCAGACTATAGATTTTACAAATCAAAGAAATATTGAGACAAGAAAAAATATAAATTTTTGGCAAATCACAACCCTGAATCGTGAAAATTAGTCATAAAAATGTTTGTGGCAGAGGCTGGTCCCTGAGGGACCTTCTCAAAGCCTTATGTACACGTCCATGACCGTGTCAATGGTGGTATTTACTTGAATATTTTTTTGTTACGAAGGTACAAAACCTGATATGCAATTACATTTTTTTTTGAGCGGGGGGGGGGGGGGGGGGGGGTGGTGAATCATCACGTTTACATGCCGTGTGCGCACAGTAGTGTGTACACGTACGCTAGTTCACAGGTAAGTGCTGCTCCAAAAGTGCAGAGTGCCAGCCGTGCAGAGTGCCATGCGCACTGGGGCCGCACTTACACGGGGATGCGGTCGCGCAGGTATTCGAGGAGCGTGGCGGTTCCCTTGGAGAGCAGGGCGGGACGCGGTGAGCGGAATCGGTTTCCTCCCAACAGCAGGGACCTGGGGGGGATGGGGTGGGCGGGGGGGGGCGCCTTTTCATACACCAGCACCAAAATTCGCTACCATGGGGGAGCTCGACAGTTAACGTCTGCGTCTCAAGAGGTGGTTTTGCCCTCGCTTCCTATTGCTCGCATCACCAAGTTTCAAAATCGACAGCCGACGGTCAGTCCAATGCCGTATTTTAATCTGTCGGTCTCGGAGATGATAAGTTTAGCATTGGAATGAGGCAGGGCTGCCCAGAGGGTGGGGAAAAAGGGGCGATTTACACGATGCCTTACAAACAAAATTAAAAACTAAACTAACTTTTTTTTACTAGGCAAGGCCCACCGAGCTTTCACTTGGCTTCCTCCTGGCCACAATTGATGGCTCAATTCAGTGACTTATCACGTGGAAATTTCTAGCAGTAGCCAAATACTCTATACAAAGAGAGAACTCCGGGAAACCTCTGAGCTGCCCTTAAGAGTTTTGCAGGTCGGCAAAGACACGAACACCTTTTATTAACCATCACGGATAATGATTATCCGAGGGGTGCTACGTCATCTAGCCGACTCTCACCGGAGGCTCACGCAGAGGCCCAGCTGCGGCGGGACGACCGTGATGTCGTTGTTCTGCAGGTCGAGCGTGCCGAGTCGCTCCAGCGACCTCAGCCCCGTCGCGTCGACCACGCCGATCTGGTTGTCGCTCGCCAGCAGCGTCTCCAGCGTGCCCACGCGATACAACACTGGAGGGATCTCGCGGAACCTGCCCCACGCGATACCAATCGCACCCGGGTTATCGCGCGGGGCAAGCCAAGGGGTGTAGTAGGCGAATGGATAAGTGAATGGGGCAAAGGGGACAAGCGAAGTTGAAGCAAAGTGAAAGGACGAGGGCAAGCAGCAGGGCAAGCGATTTGGAGAAGTGGGTGTCGCGCACCGTGTGAGACATCGGTGCGCAATCAATACAAGATTTATAACGCGCCATATTCAGCGAGAAGCTGAGACGGAAGTGCGGATGGTACTGAGAAATTTGAACTAAATTAAACGGAAGAGAAAATACATGTTTTCAATCTGGTCTTAAAAGCACCCATATTGTTCCAGCTAACGGAACTTCAATTGGCAGACTGCTCCAGACCAGATGAAATGGCCCATTCTGCTGTCCTAAGCTGCTAAGTGGATTTCACAAACAGCAGGTCCACCGTAGCAGATGAGCGTAGGTTTCGTGATGGTACATATGGGTGGATGCCATTGCTCAGGCAGGTTGGTTGACTGGTTGCCTTTACTATAAAAGCAAGTACAGTACTGCAACCTTCAATTGGACCCTTCTTATGGACTGGTAACCAATGCAGCTCCTTCAAAAGGTTTCAAGAGCACGCGAGAGGTGGGGCCAGGCAAACAACTCTGACGAGGAGGGTGTTGTTTTGGACAAGGTGGAAGGCGTTTGCCGAGGCCATAATTTAATCCGTACGGCAGAGTTGCAATCGTCAAGGCGAGGGGGCAACTAAACTGCATGCGATGGTATTTGCGACATCCTTATCAATGCAATTTCTGGTGTGCCGTAGAGCCAAACCTGTTGCAGGAGATGATGATGCTCTGCAGTCTGCTTAGTGCTTCCATTTCGTTCGGGAGAGAGCTGAGGGCATTGTTCCTAAAATGAAATTTCATTTAAATTAAAGTTGTGGAAGCCAGAAATAACGGCGACATTATTTTTGTATAGAGCAAGTTACAGTACGATTACGATCATTGAAAGATGTATGAATGTTGCACTTCTTTCACACCATACATAGCCAACTGTGCTAATCAGAGGTGTGGGGGATGGAAAAAAATCTTCCAAACCCCACATAAAATACAACACTGCTGGTGCAGCTCTCACCTGAGGTCAAGGTGAGTCAGGTTTCCCAGCATGCACAGCTCTAGCGAGAGGACAGAAATCTTGTTGAATCCGACATTCACGTCCGTCACCATGTCCTTCAGCTCCACGATCCTGCCGTGGACACATTTAGATTCCATGAACGGTGCTGGAGATGCACTCGAAGAAGACCTAACGTGGGTACACTTTGCAAGCGGAGCCGTTTATTTAATCAAAAGAATGCGAAGAGACACACTCATGTCACATAATGCAAAGGACTTCCTCCTTATGACCACATCGGGGGGCATTGGATTCAGTGTCCCCGCCCCCCTCAGGGAACCTGATGATCCAACCAGCGGTGACCGAATTCTGCGAGCTCCAACTCTACGAATCCTGTTCCCAAACACACGTGCTAAATAACTACAAGTGTGGCTTGTAAAAACAACTATGTGCTTCAGACATGGTTTACAAAACAACCGTGTCCTTCTCGGCTCTCAAAGCGGTCCTTATGAGCCTCCAATATTAACAGTGAACCATAAGAATCCATGAGGGTGCTTTATTCTGAGCCTTTGAAAATAACACTGAACTCCAGGGATCTAAATGTGCCTCCTTCTGGATGTCTGGGTCTCAGAAATTAACAATCCATAGGAATCCTGAAGCATACCCCCTATCTTGTATCTCTGAGCCTCAAGCATTAACAGTGAACCCTAAGTGACCTTTAGTCAAAACACCTTGAAAAATAATTCGCCAGTGTGGCTTTCCTGCATAAATGGCACAATGATAAATGTTGCATTCAGGTCGTGCACAAATAAATGTATATCCTTTTATATACAGCTTCTATGCATGTCGCTTATATTTAAATGTCAACATGCAATCACAATGTCTGTGGCACGTTGTGACAACACTCAATAGCATGTTGTGCCACAACTGTTTACCTTCTAGTGACAAGATACCAATTATTGAAATGAATATAGATAAACGTTGCGGGAGTGTGCTTAAGCAGTGCAATTGTGTCGACCTGGACTGGTGTCTACTTGGGCTAGTGCAGACATGGGCCGTATACGGCCCGTAGGGCTTTTTAATCCGGC